ATATAAATAAATATATCGACATATATTTTAGGATGCTTTTTTTTTTTTTTTTTTTTTTTTTTTTTTTTTTTGGGTTTGTGGGTTTTTTTTTTTTTTTTTACCCCCCGCGCGGGAAAAAAAAAAAAAATTTGGGGGAATTTTTTTTTCCACAAAATTTTTTTTTAAAAAAAAAAAACAAATTTTTTTTGTGGTGGGGAAAAAAAAAATTTGGGGGAAAAACCCCCTCCAAAAAACCCCCCCCAAAAAAAAAAAAAAAAAAAACCCCCCCTTTGTTTTAAATTTTTTTTTTTAATTTTAATTTTAATTTTAATTTTTTTTTTTTCCCCCCCCCCTTTTTTTTTTTTCCCCCAAAAATAAAAAAAAAATACACCAAAATTTTGAGGGTCCCCTTTTTTTTTTTTTTTTTTTTTTTTTTTTTTTTTGGTTTTTGTTTTTTTTTTTTTTTTTTTTGTTTTTTACAGAATATTCACTCAAATTATTTTGTTTTATATTTAGTTTAATAAAACTATTTATAAAAGTTGATCTTTTTCTATTTAAAATTTTTTCTTTCTTTTTTTTTAATATTTTGTGTAATAATAATCTTAAAATAGCTCTATTTTTGTTATTCATTTTTTTTATATTTTTTTATTTAATGTTTTTTTTTTTTGATGTTTAATTAAAATATACATACATATATATATATTATTTTTTTTTTTTATATACATAATAATATATATGAATATTTAACTATACCAATAAATAGTTATATATTCAAAACATCAAAAAACATAAATAATGAATAGTATAAATAAAATTAACAATAACAATAACAATAACAATAACAATAACAATAGCAATAACAATAATAATAATGATAAAAATGAAACACTGTTTTTTAAAATATTCCGAAACCTTTTTTTAAGGAGTCACATATTTTCATTTATTCATTCAGCAAAAGTTTTTTTCAGTTACAACTCCTCAACTTCATTCGAACTATTGATGGCAAATAAAAAATTTGAAATCATTAAAGATAAAATTCAATCAAATCATTTCATCTACATTGACGAAGATGGTTTGGAAAAATTAGACAGTGACAGAGAACTAGATAAGTCATACTATGTTTCCCAAATAGAAAATATATACCAATTGTTATGGGATAATTATAAAAATAGATTAAAATATTTTAATCCAATCGAACTTTCAATATACAATCGAAATTTTTTAGGTTTAAAAGAATATGTAAAATTATATAATTTAAAAAATAATAATAATAATAATAATAATAATAATAATAATAATAATAATAATAATAAACAAACAATTAATCAATCTTATAGACTTTATAGTTTATTAGATGTGACATTCGAATATAATTGTATTAAAAATTTTAAAATTCCAAATTTTATATTGAAACTTATTAAAAATACCCAAAATAATTATAGTTATAATAATAATAATAATAATAATAATAATAATAATAATAATAATAATAATAATAATAATAATAATAAAAGGCAAAAAACAATAAAAACAATTGATTTATTTGAAACTACAAATGAATCAATATTAGAAGAAATAATTTATTCAAATCAAGAATTTCCAATATTTTCATATTACAATGTCTTTGGTCTTTTATCAGCTTTAACAGAAAAAACTATAGATTTCATAGAAAATACTTTGCAATTAAATTTCGAAAATCTGTTAAACCAATGTAGGCATAAAGTCGAAATCGAATTAAGATGTTCATTCAATAAGAAAATTGTTGATGTATGTTTATCAAGAGTTCTTGCAAGCGATTACCCTATCATTTCATTGGACAAGTATTATCTTGACAACACAAGCCATGCCAAGATATTTTTAATCAACAAAATGGACTCCTATACAAATCAAAGCCAACACGATCCGTTAAAATCAATTCAACACTTTCAATTAAAGCGATTTCTATTAGAAAACAACTCATCAATTAACAACATTGAATCAATTATTTCATTAGCAGAGGCACACATTATCGATCATAGCGACTATGAAAATCAAATCTACCACTACTTTGAAGATTATTTCCTTTACTATTGTTTGAAGCAAAGTTTGTTCAATAATGAATTTCAAATCGATTTTACGCGTTACAACGTAGGCATAGTTTTATATTATTCAGTTTATAAATTATCGATCGAAGCATTTGATATGTATGTAAATTACATTGTCAACGAAGACCTGTCTCCCGATTTTTCATCTATATACTATATTGAAGAAGCCATTGAGAGAGATATAAATAAAGCAAACGACTATTTTGATTATGCCCTTTCTCAAAACTTTTCTAAAGAAGCTTTATCAGACGATCATTGGGCAGAAGTTATTAAAATCTTAATTGTATTTCATGGTGGTGATTTATTTGTTTGGTTATACAGCCACAATATTCTATTCCAACAGAAATATAAAGAATTGTTCTTTAAATACACACCCACATTGGTTAAATACCACTTCAAAACCAAAAAAGGTACCAATCATTTCAACTTTCCCGTGGTAAATATATTCATCGAAAATATACAAAGAAGTAAGACAAATAATAAAAAGATAATCTATCGGGTTCTAAAGGATAGGAAATCAAAATTTGATACAGGGGCCAATCTATTACTTCAAAATCTAATCAATAACCAACTCGAAGCATCTCATGATTTTATAACCTCAACTTACGACTTAATCAAATACCAGTCACTTGATTACCTTATTGAAACAGTTGATAGTTTGGATCAAGATTTTTTATCAAATTATTTTAAAAAAACCGAAAAAGATAAACCATTTTATTTCAACAAATCCAATTTATTAATTTATAGATTAATAAAAGCAGTCGTTAATAATAACTCTGGCAAAGTTTTAAGAATATTAAATTATTTAAATAATAGCGATATTTCATTACCAACTCATCTATTCAGCAATAGAAGTGCTTATAAATTGGTCCAATATCTTAATTCAAATCACTATTTAAAACAATTTGATATCAAATGTCTCATCGATGAAATTTTAGAGTTTGGAGACTCTTTTCCAAATGAATTAATTGTCGAATTAATACCACCCAACAATACACAACTACGAGAAGAATATCAAACTCTAGATATAAATTCAGAGAGGGAATTTATTATTAAGTGCGGTATGGAGGAAGAGGAGGATATAGTTTTGGAGTCTAGGATGTATGGTTACGAAAATTATATTACTGCTCCTCAGTCAACGGCCGAAGCATTCCCGTCGGACTCTAGTCTCCCCAGAGAAGAACTAATGGTTAAATATTTAAAAAATAGATACTTTCAAATTGCTTTTGAACATCTCCAAAACATGCCTCCAATTACCGAAAAAATATCAAATTTTAGTTTAAAAACATTTTTAGATAAAAATCTTGTATCGATTGAATGGTTCAAAAAGTTCTACGAACCTCTTTTCAAACTTTATTTGGGCAAAATAAAATCCGTTTTAAAAGTATCGTTTTTAAATTTTGAGGTATTCGAATTTCTTTGGGAAAATCATTTCGATGAAAACACAAAGAGAAAAGAATTACTTAGTACTCTCTTTATCAAAATTGGTCGAGGCAGATCCGATACATTTCCATTAACCGAATATGTTTTAAAAACAAAAAGACAATTTATTTTAGAACATATGCAATTAGAGCAATCCGCAATCTACCAATTACATCGTGATGCTTTAGTGGATGGTGACTTATCAATTTATCAACAAGTTAGATCATTGTTCCCAGCTTTCAATTTTAAAATTGATTTTGATATCATTAAAGATCTCATTAGCTTCGAAGACAACCTTAATGATGGTTGGTATAGGGTTCGTTATGATGTTATGGAGTATTTATATGACCAAAATTTAATTAACAATTTAAAGGGTATAATTGGAGAAAATTTAAGAAATTTGGTTATTTATGGGGGAGTATTAAGCAAATTTATTTCCTACAACAAAGAAAATATCATTGTCACAAGATCAATGTTTATATTAATTCACACTATTATTAAAAATCAACAAAATCAACAAAATCAATAATAATATTATAAAAATAAAAAAAATAAAATAGAAAATAAAAAAAAAAAATATTAATAAAATAAACTATAAAAATAAAATATAAAATATATAAATAAATAATAAACTATAAAAATAATAAATTATAAAAATAAAATAATTCTAAATTTTTTTAAAAATATTATAAACTTTTTAAAGTTTTTGTTATAAATTTATTTTTTTTTAATTTGTGTATATATTAATTTAAATTTTAAAATTTGTTTACCAACCAGATCCTAAATAAAAAAAATTTTGTTAATATTAAATTTAATTTGATATAGTTTGTAAATAAAAAATGATAATTACCAATAATTTTTGAAGCAATGTTATCAGACATTGGAGTATATGGTGGATAACGAAGTGGTAAATCTAAAAACTTCTTTGTAGTTGATTGAACCAATGCTCTTCTATGGGTAAAGGTGTCAAATGTTAATTTACCATGATATGCACCGATACCAGAGTCACCAATACCACCAAATGGTAATTGAGGATTGGTGAAATGTAAGAGGCAATCATTTAACATAACTGAACCTGATTGGGTGCCATCTAAAACTTTATCTTGGATTGATTGGTCACGAGAGAAGCAATAGAGAGTGAGTGGATGTGGACGGTTTTGAATAAATTCAATGGCTTCATCAATATTTTCATATGCTACAATTGGAAGAACTGGTCCAAAAATTTCTTCAGTCATCAATGGTGAGTCTAAATCTGGGTCTACAATGACTGTTGGTGAAATATATCTTTCTTCAATATCAGCTTCACCACCAATAACAACTTTACCATTTGTGAATAAACTAGCAAGACGTTCAGCGGCAGCTTTACTAATGATACGAGCGAATGATGGGCTTTTTTTGATATCTTCACCAAAGAATTCTTTAAGTACAGATTTAAACTCTTCAATGAGTGGTTGGAGGATTGATTTGTGAACTAAAAGATAATCTAAGCCAATACATGTTTGACCAGCGTTCCAGCATTTGCCCCAAATTAAACGACGAGCTGTAAATTTAATATCGGTATCTTTATCGACAATACATGGATTTTTACCACCCAACTCTAATGTAACTGGGGTGAGGTATTTGGCAGCAGCAGCGTAAACAATTTTACCAACCTTAACACTACCAGTAAAGAAAATATGATCCCATTTATACTCTAATAACTCTGTAATATATTGAGCACCACCTTCATAATCAAATACAAAACATTCTGGATCCATGTATTTTGTTAAAAGCTCGTATAAAAGTTTGCTAACATTATAACTGTGTCTTGATAATTTAACCAATGCACAATTACCACCTGCGATTGCGCCAATTAATGGTACCAATGCTAAATTAACTGGATAATTCCTAAAAAGAAAAAAAAAATTAAAGAAAAAGAAAAATTGTTAAAATTTATAAAATATATTATAATATGTTATTGTTGTTATAATTTGATATTTACCATGGTGACATAATTAAAACAACACCTAATGGTTCTTTTAAGATGTATGATGAACCTGGTTTGAAATGAATTGGTGAATAGACTTTTTCTGTTTTATTCCATGACTCTAAATGGCTAATGGTTTCTTCGCATTCAGCTTGTACCATTACGATTTCAGTTTGATGAATTTCAAATTCGTGTTTACCAAGATCTTTTTTAACAGCAGCGGTAATATCTTCTTTATTTTCTGAAATTAATTTCTTTAATGCTTTTAATTGTGAAAATCTCCAATCCATTTTTCTTGTCTTCTGGGAAAGAAAAACTTTTCTTAAATTTTTTGAAACTGATGAAAGTGCAACACCAGTTGAAGATGACATTTTTTATGTGTTTTTATAAATTATTATAAATTATTTATAAAAATTTTATATTGTAGATAGAAATAAATTAACACAATAAAAAAAAAAAATAAAATTATGAACATTTTTTTTTTAATTTTAAAAAAAAATTTTTTTTTCAAATTTTTTTTATTTATTTTTAAAATTTTATTTATTTTTTAAAATTTAAAATAATTTTTTTGTATTATGATTATAATTTAAAAAAATATCTTTTTTTCACCATATTTTTCCTTTTAAAATTTAATATTTTAATAAACAACTGACTATTTTCATTGTATATTTTATATTTTCAACAAAAAAATAAAATTAAAAAGAAATAAAAACAAATCAATCATTTTACAATGAAATATTTAATCAATGATCAAACTCAACATGGTCAATTATAACATATTTATTTTTTTTTATTATTTTATAATAGTTTATTGATCTCTTTGAATTACAATTATCATAAATCATTTTAATACATAAACATACCAAAAAATGCAATGAAATCCTATTCAAATTTTTATAAACCCGAAAAAAAAGTTTTATCACTATTTGAATAATAATGATCCCTATAAAATAGTATAAATTAAAAAAATATAAATAAATAAATAATTAAATAATTAAATTAAAATTATTTTTTATAAAAAATTTTTTTTTTATTTCTATTTATTATTTTTAAATTTTTTTTAAATTTTTTTTTGTTTATTTATTATTTAATTAAAATTTTTTTTTTTTTCAAAATTTTTTTTTCTTCTATATATATTATAATATTTATATATATATAAAAACAATAACACACACTTTTAATTTTTAATTTTTTTTTTTTTTTTATTTAATTTTTTCAATATTAACATATATATAAATTACTTTTATTAATAACAATATAAATAGAATAGTAATATCAAATTTTAATTCTTTTTTTTTCTTCTTATGATTTCTTTTAAAAAATTATAATCAATAATTATCATTGTAAGTAATAATATAATAAAAAAAATAAAAAAAATAAAAAAAATAAAAAATTTAAAAATTTTTTTTATAGTATATCTTTTTTAAGAAGTGCTTTGAAATTATTTAAATTTAGCTTTTATATTTAAAAAAAATTAATTTACTAATTTTCTTATTTCAACTATACTATTTACATTCAATAATTCATTTTTAGTTTTTTATATAGGAATAAAAAAAAATAAAAACAAATAAATATAAATATTTCAAAAATTATTTATTTAAATTTTTTTTTTTTTTAAATTTTTTTTAAAAAAAATAAAAAAGTGAAAAAAATAAAAAATAAAAAAATTTATTTTTTTATTTATTATTAAAATAATTATTGTTGGTTTTTGGAACACATAAAAAAAAAAAACGCTTTACTTATTATTTTATTTAATAAAATATTAGTTAATAGTTGTAAATAAATAAGTATTTATAAATAAACAAAAAAGAATAGAATAGTTGTTTTTTTTTTAAATTTTTTTTTTTATAAACACAATACATAAATAAAAACAATAGCAATAATAACAATAATAATAATAGTTCAACCAACAATTAATTAGTTTAATACAGAGTTTTTTTTTTTTTTTTCTATTTTTATAAAAACTTAAAAAAAAAAAAAAACATTTTTATTTTAATATAAAAATGAGTGGAATTATATCAGATTACGCAACTAAAGTTTCAAGAAGGTCAAGATCAAGATCAAGATCACCCTCTAGAGGGAGGTCTCCAGTAATGTATTCTCCAAGATCAAGTTCTGCCGATTCAGAAGGTTCATCAAGGTCTATAGAGAAGCCAAATGCCTATATGTCATCAGATGATTCAAGAAGTAGATCGCCTTCTCCTCAAAAGCAAAGTTTTAGTAATCAACCAATGAATGGTTCTTTTATAAAAAATACATCTATACCATTACCACCGATTGTAAAACCAATGTCAACCTCAACTTCAACATCATCCAGATCGGGATCACATTCATCATCATCATCTTCGAGATCACATTCACATTCATCATCATCATCATCATCATCATCAACTTTAAAGGCACTTTTTGGGGGTAGTTCTAAAAGTTCAAGTTCAAATACAAAGAGTAGTAGTTCAAGAACTGATCGTGATAAACATAGAGATAAGGGTTCAGGAAGTAGCAGTAGTTCAAGAGGAGATAGGGATAAATACTCAAGTAGCAGCTCAAGAGGAGATAGAGACAGACACTCATCAAAAGTTAGTAGCAGTTCAAGAAATGATAGAGATAAAATATTTAATAGTATTGTTGGTGGAAGTAGCGGCTCAAGAACTGATAAAGATAGAGAAAGGGAAAAAGAGAGTGAATTTAGGGATAATAAAGATAGAGCTAGAGAAAGAGATAGTAGATCAAGTGGTAAACCCCAAAGCAGTAACCAATCATTGTCATCCTCATCACAAAGAATTTCATCATCTAGTTCCTCTGTACAAAATAGTAGTAATAGTTTAAAACCATCAACATCATCAACAAATATACCATCATTAACATCTTCAGGATCTGGATTACCAAAATCCTCATCCTTACCAAGCAAATCACCATCTCTATATCAAAATAACATTAGTAATATTAATAATAGTAATATAAATAATAATAATAATAATAATAATAATAATAACAATAATAATAATAATAGTAATTCACCAAAACCATCGCCATCATTAAAATCACAGAGTAGCAAAGGTGGTGTTTCAAATTTTGTTTTAAAAAAATCAATAACTAAAAAAGATAGAGATCAAATTATGGAACTTTTAAATGAACACGATAGCGATTCTGATATTGATTTCACCACTACCCCAACACTCAGCAGTCATATTTCAAAATATTCTCCCGCCCAATCTCCAGTACCATTTAAGTCTGCTCCATTAGAACTTTTATCGAATAATAATCGTGGAGGTAATAGTAGTGATAACCTTTATGGCAATAAAGATTTAAAGAATTTAGACTTAAATAATACAAGTGATCAAAATAAATTAGATAGCTTTTTATTATCAACTGAAAATCCATCCGAAATAAAATCTGCACTTAAACAACCATCAACCTCAACTTCAATATCATCAAACCAACCAAAACCATTAGATTTCGATAGTGATGACGATATTTCAGAAGAATATTATAAGAAAATGTTAAATGACCATAAAAAATCAAAGAAAATTGATTCAGAGGTAACTATATTTTAAAGTTTAAATATATACATAAAAATTTTCTTTATTTCATATATTAATAATTTTTATTTTTTAATTTTTTAATTTTTTTTAGAAATTTTTTAAAGAGTTAGAGCTATCTGATGATGATGTTTTTAATGAAAAGAATAATAGAAAACAATTAAAAATAATGAAAAGATTAATGGATAAAGAGTCAGGTGATAGAAAAAGAGTTAAAAAGAAAATGACAGATCCCAAATATAATGGTAGTAGTAGATCATCAAGAGATTATAGTAAAGAAAAATATAGGGCATCAAGATATCCAGCATTATATGGCAGTAGCAGTGGTAGTAGCAGTAGAAAAGATAAGAAACCATCTAGCAATCCATTATCAGTTTTATCTAGCGATGATGATTTTGCAAGAGAGTTTTCAGATGAAGATGAGGAAGAATTTGAAAGAATGCTTAAAATGGAAAGAAAGAAAAAGAAAACCCCAAGTGGTCTACTTAACTTGAATAGCTCATCCTCTGGTATTAAAGTTGATCAACAATCAAATCAACAAAGTAATCAACAAATTTTAGAGAGATTAGATTTTTATAAAGAGATTGATCAAGTATTTGCCAACAATTGGTCCAAAATCGTTAAAAAAGAAATACCAAAATCACAAAAGAAATATATTGATACTCATAATAATGGTATTAGTGATTGCAAGAGACGTTCAACAATGATGAGAAAAGAAATTAAAAATCGTTATCAGAAATCTTTACAAAAATTACAAACTAAAGATATCCAACTACGTGCAAAAAAATTGGTAAAAGAAATGGGTGCTTATTGGAGAAAGTTTGATAAAGATGAAAGGGAGGCCAAGAAGAGAGCTGAAAAAGAAGAGGCAAATCAAAGGAAACGTGAAGAAGAGGTTCAAGAAGCTAAAAGACAACAGAGAAAGCTTAATTTCCTTATTACACAAACCGAACTTTATAGCCATTTTATGAGTAAGAAATTAAACTCGGCCGAAGATGAAGATGAAGATGAAAAAGAAAAGAAACCAAAAATTGAAGGCGAGGAGTCATCAGAAGAAGAATCAGATGATGATGGTAAAACTGAAGAAGAAAAATTAGAAGATGAGAGAATGAAAGAAGAAGCGGAAAAGAAAACTCAAAAGGCAATCGAACTACAACTTCAAAAAACCAAAAACTTTGATCAAGATGTCGACAAAATTAAAAATCAAGGTGATATCTTTGGTACCAATTTATTAGAAATTAATAATTCATCATCTATCCCACCAGGTTTTGGTACAACCGATACATTAAAACAACCAACCATTTTAAACGCCAATTTGAAACCATACCAACTTAAAGGTATGACCTGGATTGTCAATCTATATGATCAAGGTATTAATGGTATTTTAGCTGATGAAATGGGTTTAGGTAAAACCATTCAATCCATTGCAGTTTTAGCCCATTTGGCTGAAGAAAAGAATATTTGGGGCCCATTCCTTATTGTTACACCAAAATCAACTTTACACAATTGGAAGAATGAGTTTGCTAAATTTGTTCCACACTTTAAAGTAATTCCATATTGGGGCACCCAACAACAAAGAACTACAATTAGAAAATATTGGAATCCAAAGAAACTTTATCATAAAAATAGTCCATTTCATGTTTTAATTACTAGTTATAATGTTATCGTTAGGGATGAAAAATATTTCCACCGTCTCCGTTGGCAATATATGATTTTAGATGAAGCACATGCTATCAAGAGTAGCGCAAGTAATCGTTGGAAAACTCTGATGTCATTCAATTGTAGAAATAGATTGTTGCTTACCGGTACACCAATTCAAAATAGTATGGCAGAACTTTGGGCACTTTTACATTTTATTATGCCAACATTTTTCGATTCACATGACGAGTTTGCCGAATGGTTCTCTAAAGATATTGAAAATCATGCTATGTCTCAAGGTGGTCTCAATGAACATCAACTTAACCGTCTTCATATGATTTTAAAACCATTCATGCTTCGTAGAGTAAAGAAAGATGTAGAGAATGAAATGCCATCAAAAACCGAAGTCGAAGTTTATTGTAATCTTACCCATCGTCAAAAAAGACTTTATCAAAGTATTCGTCAAAAACTATCAGTCACAGAATTATTAGGTGGTGCCTCATTTTCGGCAGAAGTTTCAAAGACTTTAATGAATCTTGTTATGCAATTTAGAAAAGTTTGTAATCATCCAGAAACCTTTAAGAGAAGCGAATGTGAATCACCATTTTTATTCCAAGTCCAAGATTTTGAACCACAAGATACAACTGCCCTTACATGTCCAAACTATTTAAGAACTATAAGATGTGTAAATAACAATCCAATTCAAATAGATTATCCAAAACTTTTATATAGAGAAGCATGGCACCCAAATAATTCAACCATTAATGATTCAGTTAAAACAAAATCAATTAATCGTTTCAACATTTTTAAATCAAATAATATTATAAATAATAATTTTGGTATTCAAAGTGATGATAATAATAATTGTTTTTCATTTTTAAATTTTATAAACTTATCACCTGGTGAATTAGAGAAGATATATACAGATTTTTCAACAATGGATTTATATGTTTATAATCAAGTTTTAGAAAAAGAAATTTATCCAGTATATAATTATACCTATCAAGAGTATAAAGATTCAGATAATCTTTCACTTTCTATGAAATCGATGTTATTAGAGCCAACTTTTTCAAATGTATTAAATGAATATCGTATCGAAAATGGTTTACGCTTAATTAAAGAGTTGGTTACTAGTCCAGATGAAAAATATCAAGTCAATCAAAATGTTATACAATCAGTCTATACCCTATATCCAAAAGCTTTAGCAACACCAATCGATGTTGTTGTTGTCGATAAATCTTATTATCTCGAAAGAATTTCTGAACAATTTAACTCTAGCTATTCTTTACCATCAACCTTTAATCAATTCCCATCAGAAATTTCACTATTAAAATTAACAATGAGTGGTATTCAAAGCAATAAAGGTGGCCAAGTTCAATCATTAGTCAAATCGATTCCATCAATCTCGGATAACAACCTTACAGAAAATGTATTGTCATCATTTACTGAAACTGGTGGCTTAATGGGTGAATTAAATCATCTATATGGTTCATCATCAATTTGGATGCCATCATTCTCGAAATCTCTAAATGATTCAGGAAAACTTCAAGTGTTGGATAAACTTTTGAAGGATCTTAAAGAAGGTGGCCATCGTGTTTTAATTTATTCTCAATTTACCAAGATGATTAATATCCTAGAAGACTTTATGATCTATAGAAAATACAAATATCTGCGTCTTGATGGTTCCTCTAAATTAGAAGATCGTAGAGATATGGTTGATGATTTCCAATCTGACCCTTCAATATTTGCTTTTCTTCTTTCAACTAGAGCTTGTGGTATTGGTATTAATCTCACATCGGCTGATACAGTCGTATTTTATGACAGTGATTGGAATCCAACAGTTGATGAACAAGCCATGGATCGTTGTCATCGTTTAGGCCAACAAAGACCTGTCACTGTTTATCGTTTAATTACAAAAGGTACAATCGAAGAAAAAATTTTAAAAAGAGCAAAACAAAAACATCATATTCAAAGTATTGTTATTACTGGTGGTAAATTTGAAAATCAAGAAGATCAAATGGGTGAAAATGAAGTTGTATCATTACTTTTAGATGATGAAGAGTTGGAAGAAAGAAGTAAGTTTAACATTTATATTATTAATTTTTATTTACACTTATTAATGTTTTTTTTTTTTTTTTTTTTTTTTTTGAAAATTTTAGGTAGGAAGAGAAAACAACCAGAGCCAGAAATTCAAAATGTAGCTGATAAACCTTTCTCACCAAATGATATTCCAACCACCAAAACTATTAATAAAGGAAGACCTCCAAAAGAAAAGGACCAAAAATTATCAGCCGAACCAAAGGTTCCAAAGAAAAAAGGTCCAAAACCAGGCTTTAAGAGAGTAAAAGTCGACCCCTCAATTGCTGCAACTGATGGTAATGCTTCAACTGCAACAGATAATATAAATACAACTCCAACCTCACTTTCATCATCAACCTCAAATGTACCATTAAATAATGTTAATAACAATAATAAAACTAAAAAAGAAAAATCAAATGGTGATGAAGGAGCACCAAGAAAGCCTGGTAGACCAGCAGGTAAACCAAAAGGTTTTTATAAGAAAGCGGCACCGATAACTCCAACTCAAACCTCAACAACCGCCACTTTATCTACACCAACAGCTCCAACACACAATCAATAGTAGCCACACCAAACAAATTATTTTAAAAAGTTTAACTAGTCTTTATAAATTATTATAATAAATATTTAATTATAAATTATTGATAATTTAAAATTCCTTTTTTTTGTTTTATGGTTACATCTAAAAATAATTTTTCTTTTTTTTTTTTCTTTTCGCAAAAAAAAAAATTTTATTAGAAAAATAGTTTTTTATTTATTTTTTATTTTATTTTTTTTTTTTTTTTTTTTCTCATTCTTATATTTTTTTCTATTACATATTTTCTTTTAAACAAATAAAAAAAACAACAAAATAATGTCGGTGACACTAGAAACTACAAAAAATTTAGATACAAATTTAATCCCTCCAACAAGTAAAAAATCAAATATTTTAACAAGGGGGCAAAAAAGAGCAACAGAAACCTATGACTTTATGTTTAATATTATTGAAGAAAAAGATTTATTTACTCTTTTTGGCGTTGATTGTATGGGACCAAATGAACAAGAGTTAAGAGTATATTTTAAAGTATTTCCAAAAAAAGCAATCGATGTTATCACTAAACAGGATTTAATAGATTTTATTAACAAAAACTACACAAGTGATCAAGCTCAATCCATTAATGTAGATGAAATTTTAGAAAAAGTAGATCTTGACCAAAGTGGGGAAATCGAAATTGAAGATTTTGTCGAATATATCAATGATTCAATTATTGAAAAATCAAAAGATATGGGTTTAATTATTGAACTTTCCAGTGAAGAAGAGGAAGTGCCAAAAAAGAAAAGAAAAACAAATAAAAAATCTACTCCACAAACACCACAGGTAAAAAAAACAACCTTAAATTCAATTAAAAAAGAAAAATTAGGAAAAACAAAAAAACAGAAAGTACAAAAAGAAAAGAAGGTAACTCCAATTAAAAAGACAAAAAAAACAACAAAAACAAGTAAAGTTAAATATAATTTCGAAAAATATCATAATGATACAAATAAGGAAACAAATAGTCAACCACTTGAAAGTGGTGGTCTTAATAACCAAAATGAAAATAAAATGTTTTTATGGAAATATGAATTTAATAATAAATGGTTAAACTACACGGATGATGCATCTCAGGTCGTAGAAGATGCTTACCAAGAATGGCTCACTAATCCACATATAGACGTTAGATCTGTACAATCTGGACAGTGGGCATACCAAATTGACTTTAAACAAATGACCCAAACAAATATACAACATATTGATCATACAAGCAGAAATATTAAAAGAACAGTGACTTTTAGAAAAAAATAAAAAAATTTTCAATAACCAAACCCATGTATTTTATAAAAAAAAATAAAAAATTAAATAAAAAATAAAAAAAGCTTTCCAAAAATTTAATATTCTTATGGTCTAATAAAAATTAAACATTTTTGTTTATTTTAATATAAAAAGATTATTTCGGTTTTATAAAATATTTTAAAACTGCACAGTATTTCACAATAATTTTTCAAAGAGAGAATGCCATACAGAAAATAGAGAAGAAAACAGTTTCGATCAGCATACACTTAATGATGGTTGAGTGCACTAATTTTCTTTTTATTTTATTCAAATCCCCACCAAAAATCCTTTTCTCATAACAAAAGTTCAAATAAAAACATGAAATAACCTCAGAAATATATTTTAAAAAAATTTTTATTTATTAAATAGTTTTTATAGAAATAAAATTTTTTAAAAATTATATCGTTCCAAAAAAATAAAAACCACTTTAGATATTATTTTAAATTTAATTTATATTAACAACTTTTTTTTTGATTACATTTTGTGGTTATTAGTAATCTGCACAAAAAAATGGTATCTTTTTTTTATTTGAAAACTTTTTTTTTTAATTAATATTTATTTTTATTTTTATTTTTATATAATTTTTTTTATTAACAAAATTCTATAAAACTATTAATTAAATTTATAAAAAAAATTAATTAAAAAATCAATTACATCATTGTTACAAATTATTTTATTTATTTGGTAATTATAATCTATTAAAGATAAAGATAAAAAAAGAAACTATTTATTACAATTAAAATTAAATAAAAAAAAGTTTTAAATTAAATCTTTTATATTTTTTAATTTTTGAAAAAATATAAATAGTTTTTTTATTAATTTTATTTTATAAATTATTTATTTATTATTTTTTTTATATAGAATTTCTATCCAATAAGCTTCTTTAAAAATGTCAGAAACCCAACAAATTTCCCAAGATTTAGAAAACTTGAAAATTAATAAAGATGCTCATGAGCATGTAGAAGGTGACCACAAAGAAAAAAAAGAAAAGAAGGAAAAGAAAGATAAAAAAGACAAAGAGCATAAGGATGGTGAAAAGAAGGAAAAGAAAGAAAAGAAAGATAAGAAAGACAAGGAGCATAAAGATGGTGATGAAGAACATGAAAAAAAAGAAAAGAAAGATAAAAAAGATAAAAAAGATAAAGAACACAAAGATGGTGATGAAGAACATGAAAAGAAAGAAAAGAAAGATAAAAAAGATAAAAAAGATAAGGAACACAAAGATGGTGACGAAGAACATGAAAAGAAGGAAAAAAAAGATAAAAAAGATAAAAAAGATAAAGAACACAAAGATGGTGATGAAGAACACGAAAAGAAAGAAAAGAAAGATAAGAAGGATAAAGAGCACAAAGATAAAGATGAAAAGAAAGATAAAAAAGATAAAAAAGAAAAAGAACATAAAGAAAAATAAAATGTATATTTTATAATTTATGCATTTTTTTTGGCTTTTATTTAAATAAAATTTTTCATTTGATAATATATTCATTTTTTAATTTTATTTCATTTTATTTTTTAATTATTTTATAGTATTATAATATTTTATAGAAATTTTTTTTATAAAATATTATTTTTTTATATTATTTTGAATGGGAGGATGTGACAATCTAACGGAACTCTAATTTCATGTCTATGTGATCAATTAGAGGGTTTTGAATTGTTTCTCGCTCTCACCCACACACAAATGAGCAAAGTGTTTTGTATTCCTTTCGGTTACCTTGCCCAAAAATAATGGGTGTTATTTAAATCAAAATTAACTGGAAAAATGTTCGCCCGATTTCTGGATTGAAAAAACCTAAATAAATTATGGGATTGACAAAAGAAATTTTTAATTGGATTATAGGAAACCGAAAATAAAAAAAAAATTAAAAAAAAATTTTTTCAAAAAAAAAAAAATTTTCCAAAAAAAATTAAAAAAAATTAAAATTAAAAAAAAAAATGGGGGGGAAAAAAAAAAAAATTATTTTAATAAAAAATAGAGTTTTATAAAAAATATATATTTTTTATTGATCCCTTTGGTTTAGTTTAAATAATGGGATGGAAAATATGCATGGAAAAAAAAAAAAACAATATTGACTCATTTTGAAAAATTTATTTTTATTTTTTTATATTTAAATTATTTTTTTTTTTTTTTTTTTTATTATTTTTTATTTTTTTTTTTTTTATTCAGTTAGTTTAGGGTCATATGAAAATTACTAAAAAATTTAAAAGTATTTACAGTATTACTGTTAGATCCAACAATATCTCTTATAATAATAATAGCAATACAAAATCCACAAATTTTAAATTAAATAATAATAATTTAAAATTAAATTTTTTAAATTATAATTATATTAAAAATAATAAAAATAATAATAATTTAATATATAATAATAAATTATTTTTTTCAAGTATAGTTAATAACAATTTTATAAACGAAAATATAAAAAAAATAAATTATAAAGAAGATAAACCAAAATCAAATATGTTATATTCACCAAAAGATAGATCATACGAGGAGGCTGTAAATGCGTTATTGTCGTTACAATCTAACCAGTCAGTAATCATACAGTCAACATTACAAAGAAAAAATGATAAAGAAACAATGGGAAAAATTATATTGGAAGAGATGACCCAGTATTGTAAATCTATAGATATTGATGTAGGTTGTTTATTTGTTTATAGTACTACATTGTTTGATGTATTAATTTTCTATTTTTTTTTTAAATTTATTATAGTTTGATAAATTATCAGTTATTCATGTTGCAGGTACAAAAGGAAAGGGTAGTACATGTGCTATTACAGAATCATTAATTAGAAATCAAGGTTTTACAACAGGTTTATTTACATCACCACATTTAATATCACCGAGAGAAAGAATTAGAATTAATGGTGAAATGATTAGCAAAGAGTTATTTACAAAGTATTTTTGGATATGTTGGGATACTTTAATTAAAGATTTCGATACACAATTACCAAATTACTTTAGATATTTAACCTTAATGGCATTAAAGGCATTTCAAGACCAAGGAGTACAGTGTATAATCTTAGAAGTTGGTATCGGTGGTAGAATGGATGCAACTAATGTAGTACCAAAGACTGCAGTTTCAGGTATTTCCGCTTTAGGTTTTGATCATATGAACTTATTAGGTGATACATTGCCAGAAATAGCTTTAGAAAAAGCATGCATTATGAAAAAGGGTGTACCAGTATTTACAGTAGCCTCACAAGCTCCAGAAGCAATGAAAGTTATCGAGAATCATTCAAAATTAATGGAATCACCACTTTCAGTAGCACCAACACTTTTACAATATAACTTTTCCGGTGACATAGGTCTTAAAGGGGAGCACCAAAGAGAAAACGCATCATTGGCTGTAGCTTTAGCAAACTGTTGGATAGCTCAACAAAAACACATACCATTAAATCAAATTTTTAATAGTAATAATAATAACAAATATAACTTATACAATAGTCAAATTAATAATTATTCAAGCGAATATTTCACACCACTCTTAGAATCATTTGAAAAAGGTTTGAGAGACTGTCAATGGCCGGGTCGTGCTCAACACTTTACTTCAGAACATTTCCCAAATATTGACTTCTATTTAGATGGAGCACATACACCAGAAAGTTCAGTAGTATGTGTTAATTGGTGGAAATCTGTAGCTTCAAATGATAGCAACACAATTCATGCTATGATATTTAACAGTACCGGTGGCAGAAACCCAAATTCATTTTTAAAACCAATTATCGATTCAATTGATAACAAAGAAATTCCAATATTTAATTTAGTTTTAATTCCAACATTATCCATTGGCAAAGCTATTGATAATAAATATTATATTAAAGAAATTAAAAATCAAAGTAATAATAGTAACAATAACAATAACAACAACAACAATATTGGTTCAAATGTTATACCAGATAAAGCTGCAACTATTCAACCAAAAGAAGATACATGGGAAGATTATTGTGTTAATCGTTATATCGAAATTTCAACAAATAACCCTCATCCAGTAGAAGCATTTGAAAATATTGAATCATCAATTGAAAAAATTAAAGAATTGGGCCAAAATGGTAAAAAGAATGTTAAGGTTTTAGTAACTGGCTCACTCTATCTTATTGGTGGTGTTTTACAAACTTTATTAAAAGAAAAATCTTTTACCTAAAAAAAAAAAGTTCGGTCTTATTAATAAAAAATTAAATTATAGTTTTTTTTTTTTTAGTATATAAAAAATTATTTCATTGAATTATTATTCAACCTTTTTATTTTTTTTAATTTTATAATTTAATATCTTGAACATTAGATAAAAAAAATATATTTTATATTATTTTTTAAAATTAGAAATAATTTCAATCTGATAATGATTATTAATCATTCTTTTTATTTTTGATACTTAAATTGGAAATCTTTAACATTCCTTTTTTCTAAAGTGTAAAGAATAGTGGGGGTTTTGTTTTTTAACTATGTATTTAAATTTTATAAATAAAAGTTAAAAATTTTATTTTTAATAATAAAAAAAAAAGTATAAATTGATTTTTAAATTAATTATTTAATATATTCAAAAACAAATTAAATAAAATATATAATAAATAGATTTCTTTAATTTTAATAGTAGAATTTAAAAAAAATGAAATTTTTAGTTACCATTTTAGTTGCATTATTAGCAGTTTCCTTTGCTTCAGCCACCAGTCCATTCCAATGTGGTCCAAGAAATGTTTGCCAACCATTCCAATCATGTGTTTGTGACCATGGTGTTTTCAAATGTGTTTATGATTGCCCTGAAGTTCAAATTGTTCAAACCATTTTTAATAGATGGGCCGATAATAACGGAAATCAACCATCTGTCCAAGTTCAAGTTGATATCATCAATAGAACCAATAGAAATATCAAAGACATCATCATTGCCACTGATGTAAATCTTAACAGTAACCAAATCTGGGGTGTTGATAAAATCTTTGTTTCAAATGGTATCACTGTCATTGATCTCCCATCATATGTTGATATTGCTGCTCATGGAAAATATTCATTCGGTTACATCAACAGAGGTAACTCTGCTGCTCACCTTTACGTTAAAAATGTTTTAGTTAACTAAAACAATTTTTAAATTTCCCTCTTTTTTTTTTTAACTTAAAAAATAAATTTAATTTAATTAAATTTTAATATAATCTAAACATTAATTTTATTTTAATAAAATTTTTTTCTTTTAAATGATCATAAAATTTAAATTTGGTAATTTTATTTTATAAGGTAAGATTCTATAATCCAAATAAGTTTTATTTTTATAAGAAATAAATATGGAAATTCTTTTAAATTTTTTTTTTTTCCAATTTTAATTAATTTAAAATAAAAATAATTTTTAATTTTTTTTTTTTTTTGTTTTTTTAATTTTTTATTTTTTTTATTTTTAATTTTTTTTTTTTTTTACTTCAATTAATATTTTTAATATAATTTAAAAGAAATAAAATTCATTTTCATACATATAGAGAAAATGAATTTTAATAGCAGCAATATGAGTAATAGTGGTAATAATAGTGGTAATATTGTACCTCCAAGATCACCAAATGTTCCAACGATACTATCAAATAGCACAAATGCTGCAAATGGTTTAATATCTCAATTATTAAATAATGGTATAAATAATAATAGCAATAGTAATGGAAATTCTCCAAATACATCACCCAATAATACTCCAGCACAATCATCAAACACTGTTAATACAACCATTACAACTGCAACTAACAATAATACTAATGCTTCGAGTAATAATAATAATATGGCACAAAATAATATTCCAACAATGGTTGCATCAGCGGATAATATAACAATATATATCACCCCTATTGGTTTACAATTACCACCTGGTACTACTCTCCCACCTTTTTTAATGAAAAGATATACACTTTTTAAAAAATTATTTTCACATATTTCACATAGATTTAATATTGAAGAAAGTTCACTTATTTTTATATATCACGATGTTGTCGACCCAGAACAATGTCCAAATGATGTAATTATTAATTTTATAATTGTATGCTATTATATTTATATATTTACTAATATTTTTTCTTTTTTTAGATTGATTTAAATTCAGATGAGACCATAATCGTAAGAAAGAAACTTTTAAAAACTAAACCAAAGAACCCAACACTTTTTGAAAAGAATATAGCATCATTATTTCATAACCCAATTTATAGCGATATTAGTTTTAAGCTCTTGGATGGCTCAGAAATAAAAGCACACAAAAGTAATTATAAAAATTAAAATTTTGTAAACATTATTATATTTTATTCATTTCTAATCGTTTTCTTTTAAGATATATTATCATCTAGGTGCCAAAAATTCCAAGCTATGTTTCAAACAGAAATGAAAGAAAGCCAACAAAAAGAAATAGAGATTGTAAATTATGAACCAGGAGTATTTAGGAAAATGATTGAATATATTTATTCAGATTCTTTAAAAGAGGATAATATCGATATGATACTACAGCTAATTGTTATTGCCGATGAATATCTTTTAGATTCTTTAAAAAGTAAGTAATTTAAATGGTATCCATTTTATATTTATTGAAATATAAAATTTCTAACAAGTGTTTTCTATTTCTTAAAGGTGTTTGCGAAATGATGTTGGTTTCAGAAATTGATTTTAATAATATAGCATTGTTTTTGTTAAAATCAGATATTTACAATTGTAAACAACTTAAAAAATCATCAATGGAATTTGCTTTAGCTAATGTCAAAAGACTAATTGAAGATAAAGAATTTATCGATGTAATTAAAGAATCACCAGTTTTATTATTAGAAATTATTAATGAAATGGCCCCAGTGTATGATAGCGTTAAAAAGAAATCTTTCCCAATAAATAATGCATAAAGTAAATTTTTATATAATTTAAAAATAAACTCTCTCCCTCTATCTCTGTTTTTCCTATTTAATTTTTAGAAAATTATTATTATTTCTAAAGAAATAAAAAAAAAAAAAAGATAAATTCAAATAGTATAATTTTTTTTTAAAAAAATAGTTTATTGTTTTCATTTTATAAATAATTGTACTTGTTTTTGGTGCTCTATTTAAATTTTTTTTATTTAGAGTGTAAAAATTAATTTGAAGTTCTCTTTTTTCTTTTTTCATTTCTTTGTTTCTTTGTTTATTCGTTTCTTCATTCCTACATCCCTTCAATTTATTTCATTATTTACCAAAGGTGATATTATTATATTTATATTATTATAAAATTTAAATATTTTTCTTTAGGTATTTTTAAAAAATTAATTATCTTTTAATTTTTTTTTTAATTTTTTTAAATTTTTTTAAATTTTTTTTTTTTCATTTTTTTTAATTTTTTTTTATATTTTTATATTTTATTTGCATTAAATGAAAAAATAATACAATATATTATAAAAGTTTACAATTAAATTATATTAATTAATAAAATACCATAATAAAATAGAAATAGAAAATAAAGAAAATTATATCCATTTTCTTTTTTTTTTTTTTTTTTTTTTTTTTTTAAATCATCACACCCGACCAGGTTCACCACAATACAAGAAAATAATTTATATAATCGTATATATGTATATTTAATAAATGGGTGCAAACTATTCAACAGGTGATATTCCCAATGAAAACAACAACAATCAAAATAATAATATAAATAGTATAAATAATAATAGCAACAATGGCAATGGAATAAGTAGTTTACTTTTAGCTACAGATACAGCCATAGCAAACATGGGTCTTTATCAAAATGCTTTAAGCGATAACTTTAAACTATTGGTTTCAGATAATCAGTTACCCGAAGATTTAGACTCATTTATGGAATCTTTGTTATTCAGTTTAAATTTTTCAGAAGATTCAAACCACACCTATATAAATAATGTATTAAATGACCTATCAAAGCAGCTAGGTAATTATTTATTGCGAAAAAAAAATAATTTAATATAAATAAATTTATACTAATACTTTTTTTAAATTTTAGTAAAAAATAATTTAAAAACCAAAAACTTTAATAAAATACTGTCCCACTTTATAAACAAATTAAATCTATTTAATCAACAATTAATCACAATATCAAAGTCAATTCAGGATAGTATAAATAGAGAAAATAAACAACAATTACAAATGGATCAATCAGTAGAGATTCAATTGTTTGCTCATCAACAGTTTTTAGTTAATTATACAATTCTTTTACAAACTTTTACAAAATATATAATAGAAAATATGGATCATGTAGATATTATACAGCAATTTCTTGGAGTTGATAAATCATATAAAACAATACCATTCGATTTAATATTTTCAATTATAGGCTTTTTATCAAACGAAATAAGGTAATATCTCATACCTGACTATTCTTGTTTACATTAATCAATATAAATAACACTTTTATTTTAAATTTAGGGATTGTTCATACGATTTGCATGATGTGTTGTTAAGATTTTTATTAATTTTATTTTCAACCGAAATGTATTTACCATTACCAAGTATACAAGAGGATTTTCTTACAGAAACATATACAATCGATGCAAGCTTTTATAATTTATTAGAACCCAAAACAAATATTTTTTTAAATTTATTAATGGACACAGTCTCTTCAAATTCAAACTCACCAATATTTTTTAGTTTCATGAATAATCTTTTAAATAATATTATTCAAAATAAACAACCACCAACAACCTCAAATAGCTTTTTAGATTCTATTGGAAATGCAGCATGTAAATATTATTATTAGTACAGAATCAAATTTTATTATTATATTTTCAACAAAAACTAATATGGTTTTTATTTTATTGTAGCTTATTTATTATTATTACCATTAAATGCATATAAATATTTTTTCCCACAAAACAATAGCATTGGAAATTCAATGACTGAACTCTCACTATTAAATTTATTGGTATTGGTTCAATATAATTACCCAAAAGGAAATCCATTTAGAAATATATTATCACTAGTTCAAGATAAAGATTGTAAGTATTTTATTAAAAATTTATTGAAAAAAAAAAAAAAATTATTAATTCCATTTTTAGTTTCAATTGATTTAAACCCAAATCCGAATATATTTCAAATTAGAATATCAATGCAGAATTTATATGAAAATATTATAAAATCCCCATCCTCTGATAAAAATATTTTGTTACTTTATTATCTTTTACAAGAAAACACTTTCTTTTTTAGATATGTACAATCAAGAACTGATTTAGATAGTTTAGTAAGTAAAATTTTAAATAAAATCATAGTAAATAAACCTTTACACTAACAATTTTAATTAGATTTTACCAATGATTCAAATTTTGTATAGTTCATTTGAAGATAAACCACAACAAGTTTATATGATTTTAATTATAATCTTAATTTTATCCCAAGATCCGTTATTTAATCAAAATGTGCATTCACTTGTAAGTTGATTTATATGAAATCTAATATTACAATTAAATAGTAATGATTAATTTTTTTTTTTTAGATTGTTCATCAGGTTTTATGGTATAAAGAAAGACTTTTAATTGATGTTTCTTTGGGTGGGATTTTAATGGTAGTATTAATTAAATCAATTATGCTAAATTTATCCAAAGTCCGTGATGCGCATTTACATACCAATTGTTTAGCTATTTTAGCAAATTTATCATCAAATATTTCACATATTCATCCCTATGTCGCAAATCGTTTAGTCAAACTTTTAGAAATACTTAGCAGAAGATATATTAAATTGTAATTATTCAAAATTATAAGTAGTTAACTATCGAAAAATAATTAATATTTTTTTAAACCTATTTAGGAAAAAAATGATTACAAGCAACTCATTTGAAAATTCACCACCTAATAATAATAATAATGATAATAATAGTACAAATGAATTAACTAAATCAATGTCGTCAACATCAATCACATCTGATGATAATATAAATAATATAAATACCAATGAAATGGTATCATTAGATAGTAGTCATCTACAACAACTTAAAAATCTCGAAAATCATAACAATACTAACAATAGCTTTATGAATAATAGTTCATTTTTAAACTCACCCGAATTAAACATGCAGGAATTACATTCAGAAGAATTAACGACTCATTCCGAATTTTTGTATATTGTTCTTCAAATTATTAACAATACTTTAACCTATAGAGCATATTCGAACCCAAATTTAATTTACTCATTACTTCACCAACTTGAATATTTCCCTGTATTTGTAAATGAAGAAAACTTGTCATCTATATCAACAAATATTTTTAATGTAATGTATCATTTATACATATATAATAAATAATGAAAAAAAAAAACCAGCATTCTAATCTAAATCAAATTTCATTAAAATAGATACTTCAATATTTTTCAAATGAATTAAAATACTTTACACACAGCCAATCGCAACAAGAAACCACAGCAGAGTCAATTCTTTCATTTATTGAAAGCAAAGCAAAATCATTACCAATACCATCACCTGACCAAGAGAGTAAACTTAGATTTAAATATGAAGAAGAACCTAATAGCTATGAATTTATAACACCATACGTTTGGGCAATAGTATATAATTACTCTGGTGACTTCAATTCAAAAAACATTACTTTATTCCCAACTGTTGACGTTTCAACTATAAACAATCCAAGCTCAATTGATTCAAACAATTTTATTCCTCAAAAATCACCAAACCAACAACAACAACAACAACAACAACAACAACAACAACAACAACAACAACAACAACAACAACAACCAACTATTTTATCACCACCTCAAATAACAACAACTTTAAATAATATAACCCAAGATGGTATCATGGAAAATAATAATAATAACGACAATAATAACAATATTATTTCTAAAGAAACTGAGGTTAGTTTTGATAAACTTTCCGAAATATCACCACCAACCCAAAACCAAATTTAAATAAAAATTTTAAGATTAATTTTTATTGTATCAAACTAATTTTTTATTTAACTATTCTCTTTTGATTTTATTTTAAATTTGATTAAATTATGGAAATTTATGATTTCTAAAACCATTTCTTTTAAAAAAATTTTTTATTGATTTTACAATAAAATTAAAATTAATTATTTTTCTTCTAAATTTTAAACACTCCACTTAAACTAGTGAGTGGACAAAGAGGACAACGATGATGGGTGGGAAAATTTTACAAAAAAAAAAAAGAAAAGATTTTTTTTTTTTAAAAAAAAAAAAAAAAAGATATAAAAAATTTTAGTAATTACTAAAAGATTTAAAAAAATATTTTTTTTAATTTTTTTTTTTAAATTTTTTTTTTTTTATTATTTTCTTTTTTTATTTTTATTTTTATTTTTTTATTTTTTTTATTTTTTATTTTTAATGTTCTCTGAACTAAGGAGAGACTCACAGAGGAGATGGACAATGATGAGGATATCAAACAGATCAAAAAAGTAATTATAAAACACACACAAAATCAACAAAAAAAAAATAAAAATATGAAAAACACCACACATACCACACACATAAATTTTCCAAAAATAAAATATTTGAAAAAAAAAAAAATATAAAAAAATATGATAAAAAAGGGAAATATACTAATCAAATCAAAATTAGATTATTTTATGTACAAAGACTATATCGAAAATTGCCGAGAAAAAACAAAAGAGAAAAAGGAACACAACAAATAAAGCTCAGGATATAGAAGATACAAAAAAAGCGGGTAGACTAAGTAAGGAAATAGTTAAATCTGTAGAAAATATAGAAAATAGGGTAAGATGCTCGTATTATTATTTTTATTATTTTTATTTTTTTTTTTTGTTTTTTATTTTTTTTTATTTTTTTGATTTAAAAAGATATTTTATTTTTTATTTTTATTTTTTATTTTTAGTATGTTTTTTTAAAACTAATGTGTTATATCTGTTTATATAATAATAGAATCACTGTTTTAAAAAAAATAAAAAAAAACTCACAGGACAAGAATTGACAGAAGAAAGTAGCGAAGATAGCGATAGCAGCGATTACGATTGCGAGTGTGATAAATGTACTAAAGAGCTTGATGATGAAGAAAGTGGCGGCAATGTTGGAAATAGTAATAGTAATAGTAATAGAGACCAGGAGCTGGCAAATATGGAAAAAAAACAATAGTATCAAGAATAGTTAATATTTTTTTTAAAAAAAAAAAAAAAAATTTTTTTAAAAGTTTTTTTTTTTTTTTTGGTTTTGTCCAAACCACGCAAAACCATCACAACTAAAAATGTATATACCCATGTTTGTAAAAATAATTTTTTATTTTTTATTTATCTTTTTAAAAATATGTAAATCAAAAAAAAAAATAAAAAAAATAAATAAAAGATAAAAAGTCTTCATCGATAAAAAAAGTTGGAGCTATAAATGCTTTGTTTTATTATAAAGCAATAGTTTTAAATTAATTACCTTCAAAATCATAAATATGCATAAATTTGTTTATTTATTTATTTGTTTTATTTTTTTTTTTTTTATTTTTTTAGTTGACATTTTTTTTAATTTTTTTTTAAAATTATTTTTTTTTAATTTTTTTTTTAATTTTTTTAATTACTTTCTTTTTTAAAAAATGTTGAAAATTGCAGGTTCAATTAAACCAAATTTATTAAAAAAAAATTTTTACACCACACACATCAACAGTAAAACTTTTTTTCAAAATACACACAGTATTAATTTTAAAAGTAATACTTTTTGTAATAATAAAACAAACAATAAATTATTAAATAATCAACTTTATAATTGTAATATAAATAATAATAATAATAACAATAATAATATTCAATATAAATATTTTACAACAACATTAAATAATAATAAATATTTTAAAATGGATACAACCAATAAATTATTTTTTCCAAAATCAAAAGAAGAGTTTACAAAATTATCAGATGAACTCATCAAAACTTATGATCAAGGTTTACAAACAATCATTGATATTCCAAAAGAAAAGAAAACTTTTGAAAATACATTCGATGCTACTGAAAGATTAAACGTTGCCTATAGTATTAAATACTCAGCCCTTACTTTCCCATCCAGTGTTAATGTCGATAAAGAAATTAGAGATATCTCAAACGAAGTCGAATCTGTGCTATCAAAACATTCCATCGAAAATTCCATGAGAGAAGATCTTTATCAAGCCTACGTCCAATGTTGCCAACAAAATAACGACTTTAAAGATTCATCACTTACAGAAGAACAAAAAAGATATGTAAAAAAGACTCTTGAAGGTTTCGAAAAGAATGGTTTACAATTACCAAAAGAAAAGAGAGACGAATTAAAAGCTATCAAGACCGAAATCTCTGATCTCTGTATTCAATTTAGCAAGAATTTATCCGAAGATAAAACCAAATTATCCTTTAGTCCAGACCAATTAAAAGGAGTTCCAAAAGATATTGTAGAATCACTTGAAAAGGACGAAAGTAAAGAAGGTAATTATTTCGTTTCACTCAAATATCCAGAGATTCAACCAGTAATTAAATATTGCTCAGTCCCAGAAACTAGAAAGGCTGCAGAGTTTGCCAATGCCAGTAAATGTATGAAAGAAAACACCCCAATCTTAGAAAAAACAATGCAACTTCGTTATAAAGCTGCACAAATTTTAGGTTACAAAGATTGGGCTTCATTCAAGTCACACTATTTAATGGTCCAAACAAATGAAAACATTCAAGCCTTTACCAAAAGAATGGTAGACCTTTTACAACCACATGGTAGAATCGAATTCGAAAAATTAAAGGAATTAAAGAAACAAGACTACTTAGAAAAAGGTTTGGAGCATGACGGTAACTTTTACTCATATGACTATGTTTATTATAGCAATTTAATGTTGGTCAAGGATTATCAGGTCGATAACAACCTTGTCAAAGAGTATTTCCCAATGGATGTTGTTTTCAAAGGTATTTTTGATATCTACCAAGATTTACTTTCAGTCAAATTCACCGAAGAAAAACCAATTGAATCATGGCACGAGGATGTTAAAATGTACTCTGTTTCCGATTCAACCGATGGCAGATTTATGGGCTATTTTTATTTAGATCTTTTCCCAAGAGATGGCAAATACACTCATGCTGCTGTATGGCCACTTATTGAAGGTTTTAGAAGAGGAAATGAAGGACAAGTTCCAGTTGCAAGTATGGTTTGTAACTTTACTAAGCCAACAGCCACTGCTCCATCACTTTTAACTCACGATGAAGTTGTTACTGCTTTCCACGAATTTGGCCATGTTATGCATAATATGTCAACTAAAGTTTCATATTCAATGTTCAGTGGTACATCAGTTGAAAGAGATTTTGTTGAATGTCCATCACAATTATTTGAAAATTGGTGCTGGGATAAAGATATCCTCGTAAATAAATTATCAGGTCACTATAAAGATAACTCAAAGAAATTACCAGGTGATTTAGTTGATCGTATGGTTGCTTCAAAGAACCTCAATATTGCCCTCTTCTATCTTCGTCAATTACAATACTCTACTTTTGATAATACTATCCATGGTAGTAACCCAGAAAACTTTGTCAATACCGCTGATCTCTTCCGTCAAATCCAAACCAATATCTTTTTAAATCCAAACCAAAAAGGTACCCATCCAGGTGCTTCCTTTGAACATGTTATGGGTGGTTACGATGCTCAATATTACTCATACATGTTTTCAGAAGTCTTCTCTGCTTCAATCTTTGAAAAGTTCCAAGAGAAAGGTGTTATGAATAAAGAGCTTGGTAAAAAACTTCGTGATCTTGTTTTAGCTGTTGGTGGTTCTCAAGATTCAAACGTCACAATCAGATCTTTCTTAGGCGAAGCTCCAAAGGAATCAGCTTTCTTAAAAACAATTAATTTAGCTTAAACTTAAATAAAAAGATAAATAGATTTAATAAACCACAGAGTTATTGAACAGTTCTACTTCTTCATATGTTCTAATTTATTTATTTATTATTTTTAATAATGGTGGAATATAGACGTTCTATTTTGGTCTTGTTATTATACATAAAAACAATCAATTATTTTATTTGAAATTTTCCCTCCATTCTTTTTTTTTTTTTTTTTTTTTAATTTTTGATTTATTTATTTTTTTTAATTAAAAAATATTATATGAATAATTAAAAATGAAATTTCGTGAGTGTGGTAAATTTCATTTTTTTTTAATTAAATTTTATTTTTTTCTTTTTTTTATTAAAATTTTTTTTTTTTTTTTTTTTGTGATGTGTGGGGGAAATTTTTTTTTTTTTTTTCATTTTCATTTTCATTTTCATTTTCATTTTTGTTTTATCAATATACATTATTTTATTTTTTATAATAGCCAAGCGAACAAACAAACAGGTAATTATATATATATAATATGTGATAAAAATAAATACTAATTTTATTATTTTTTATTTTTACACACTTTTTTTTTTAGTTTTTAATCTTTTTAATCATAATAATATATCATTCGGCGGTAGATTAAAACCTTTCTTACATATTTTTGTTTTGAAAGGAAAGGAAAAGATTTAATAGATGCAGTAAATAATAGTAATGACTCTTTTAATGCCATCAGTGGTGGAAAAGTAGATAGTGGTAGAGTAGAACTAATAGATGAAGTAAGACATACCTATTATCAAAGCTATTATGGAACACCTTACTTTGTTCAAAAACAACACTAAAAACATCAAAACAATAATATTTGGGCTTCATCACACCATCAATCACCACTACAGGTAGTGCCCCCTCATCATCATCATCATCATTATCATCATCATTGTTTGCCACTTCATCATTATCATCATCAGCATCAGCATCATCATCAGCATTCATCTTGGTCCTCATCATCATCATCATCACCATCATCAGTATTCATCTTGGTCATCATCATCATCAGCAGCACTCATCATCATCATCATCATCAGCATCATCAGCATTCATCATCATCAGCATTCATCTTGGTCCTCATCATCACCATCATCACCATCATCATCAGTATTCATCTTGGTCATCATCATCATCATCGGCAGCATTCATCATCATCATCAGCATTCATCTTGGTCCTCATCATCATCAGCATTCATCATCATCATCAGCAGCAGCATCATCAACCCTAAAGCTTTTAGTTAATAAAAAAAAAAAAAAAAAAAAAAAAATAAAATTTATAGAAACATACAATATACAATATCATAGTTCAATCATTTTGATGAAAGAAATACATTTTCCCTGGCCAGGCAAATACATTGGAACATCAAATGATTTTAATATTTTCAGTATTAGGATACTGAAACATTAAATTTAAATAAAATATAATAAATTTTTTTTTTTATAAATAATATGTTTATTTTTACTGTTTTCCTTTTTATTAAAAATAGCTCTTCATGATATTTAAGTATCAATATTGTTAAAATAAATATTTTTTTTTTTTTTTTTTTTTTGAGATATATTTAATTTAATTTTATAAAAGTGTGGGTTAAACAATAGATATATATAAAATTTCGAAAAGGTAAATAATTATTTAAATTCGAATTTAAAAAAAGGAATTATATCAACATACTAATTTTCATTTAAAATAGAAAATTCTATACCCTTTTAAAAAATTTGTTGTGTTGTAATCATTGCCTCAAGAAGATTATTATAATAAAATTAAAAAAACAAATAAAAAAAAAAAGATTTTTTATTTAAAAAAAATAAAAAAATAAAAAAAAAATTAATTTATTTTTTTCAAAAAAACTTTTTTTTTTTTTTTTTTCTTTAACGCTTTTACCCCCAAGTAAACATCCACACCCAATCACACACACCAAATCATTTAAAGTTAATTATTTAAAACTTGTATGTGTGTGTGTGTGTGTGTTTAATAGTTTTATTTTTAACCACATTATTTTAAAATAAAATTTTTTTTATTTATTTATAATAATATATAATTATTGTTTCATTTTGTATTTTTATTATATAAATATATTTAAAGCTATTTATTGTAATTTTATTTCTTTTTATTTTTAAAATTTTTTATTCACCCAATATTTTCTTATTTTTTTATTCATTATTATTTTAAAAAAAAGATAAAGTCAAAATGAATAATACAGATAGTAATAATAGTAATAATATGGATATTAACGTTGAAGAAAACTCAATAAATACTAATAATTCAACACCGATTTTAATAAATAATAATAATAATAATAATCGTAATTTCGAAGAGGATGGAGCAACATCATCATCACCATGGAAATATGCGAGTTCACAAAGAGCAAAACCATTATCCCCAACGTCCTTAAAGATTCAGGTGCCACCTCCAACATTTTATATCGATGAAACTGAAAAAAATATAATACCCATTATTACACCAACGACCACTACAGAAACCAATAATAAAAGTATTAGATCTTCGACATCATTTTCATCATTCCCAAACACAACTAGCGATAATGGATATGATGAGAAATCCCAATCAGATTTTGTTAGAAAGCAATCAAATAGTAAAAATTTCCCGCCATTGTCAATTAACCCAAGAAAACAAACTTTAATAAGTAAAGTTAAAAATGTGTTCCATAATAGTAATAATAATAGCAATAGTAATAATAGTTTAGATAAGAATAATGAAGAGCCAGCGGTATCATATAAAGATAAATTTTCAATTAATATTTTAGAAATATTTGATTTATCTGAATCTGAAATTATAGTATCAGAGCATCCATGTGCCTATCGTAGAAAAATTTCAAAAGCAGGAAAATTATATATTACAACAAATTATTTTTGTTTCTATAGTTTAATTTTTAATAAAGAAATAAAGGTAAGTGCAAAAATAATTTATAAATGAATCTTTACATTGGATTTGCAGCGCTCAAAATAGTTTTTCATAAAAATACACAAAATATGCAAAAAAAATATTTCATACATAAAACCAATATTAATTTTATTTTTTTATTTTTTTATAGAAATATTCAGATTTTAAAGATGTTTTATCAATTAAAAGGGTTTCATCAGTTATTTTAGGAAATTCAATTGAAATTACAACAACCTACAAGAAATATATATTTGGAATGTTTGAAAGTACAGAAACAGCATTCAAATCATTAAGTGATCAACATAAACTATCTCTTCAGAACCCAATACAGTCACAGCCTAAGAAAATCCACCCAAGTAATAGTTTTGAAAAGAAAAGGAATAGATTCTTTTCAGTGTCAGTTCAATCACCAACAAAATCAATACTTAAAGAAACTAACCATCCAATTATAATAAATAGTAAATATAGCAATAGTGGTAGTGGAAACTCTGTAACTGCACCAAATACACCACTCTCAATAATACCTCAAGACTATAATAGTAATAGTAGTAATAATAATAGTAATAGCAATATTGGTAGTATTTCCACATCTCCAAGTAGTATGGCATCACCTAATTTACCACCGCTATCACCATTATCTTCATCACCACTATCACCATCGTTTATTAATGGCTCAGCTATATCGTCTAGTTCATCACCAACTACCCCAACTTTAAATTCCACACCAACAAAATCAATTTTAATTCAAGATTCCAAATTAAAACTTGAAACAAGAAGTAGAAGTGGTTCGCTACCATCTTTTTATAATAAGGGAAATAAAAAAGGAAACACAAAGAGCAATAATTTAAATTATTTATTATCTCCAGTAAAAGATAAAGATTCAAAAATTATATTAGCTGCTGAAGATGATCAAGAGTCATTGGATAATAATAATAGTGCCCCAACATCATCCCCAAGCTCACCATCTCTAACCCCAGCTTACTCTCAATCACCACCAAAACAATTGGTAAATGGTTCCCAAACCACTAAACCAACCAAATCAAGAAGTGAAACTCATAGATCGATTGCTTTTGGCCAAAATATATTAATATCATTATTTAGCTCAAAGGATAGCACAAGTAATCAATCATCACCACCTATAGTCTCACCAAGATTTGAATATAGTAATAGCAATAGTAACAACAGTAGTGCCAATAATAGTCCTGGTGGTTTTATTAATAGCGATACATTTGACGAGCAACCAATTATTTCACCAAGAGAAAGATCAAATACCACTTTGGTTTTTAAATCATTCAAAAATAAAAATAAAGCTAATATAGATCAACCATCAACATCACCACATCCAACTACTTTAAATCATAGCCATAAAGATTCATTAGAAAAAATCAATAAGATGTTAATCACTAGAAATGCAAGAGGGGATGTCCAACACTATTGTTTTAAAGAGGATGTATTTGGTATACCATTAGAATCAATGAGACTGCTTGATGACTCTCCATATCCAATATTTTTACATCATCTCATCAATCATTTAGAGTCAACAAAAGAATCTATCGAGTTTATATATCTACATAAATCAAGTAAAAATCATAACAATGGTGATAGTAATAATGATATACAATTACTCGAAGATGAAGATTATGATGATATCATGGCAGTAAATGAAAATTTAAATAGTAACACAAGTTTAAAGAATAGTAGTAATACAATGTTTAATATGGAAGAACTTAATATTAGCAGTAGTAATAACAACATCACCAGTATTAATAATAGTGAATCAAATATAGTTGATGATAATGATAATCAAAATAATTTAATTAATAATAGTAGTAGTAGCACAATCAAAAAAATCACAATAAATTCATTAATTAAATTGGTTACAAGGGGTAAAGAAGATGCATATAAAAATTTGGGTGATTTAGTAGAGGCCAATTTATTGGGTGAACTTTTAATTTATTTCTTCAAAGTTTTACCAAATAATATTCTACCAGATTTATTACTAAATGATATTGTAAAAGGAATAACAGAAGAAAATGATGAGGGGTATAAAATTTCATTAATTAGATCAATCATTTTCTCACAACCTCAAATCCACTGGACTGTGTTAAAATCACTTTTAACACATTTAATCAAACTAATTCAAATTGAAGTTAATGAAACTTTACCAGCCGATATGAATCCAAATGATATTATCTATCAAGAGAAATTGGATATTATTCAACACAAAGTCGCAAATATTTTTGGACCAATTTTATTCAAAATTAATGATAATGCTAGTATTGTTGTTTATGACAATGCATTAAAAACCACATTATTTATTATTAAAAACTTCAATAGGATTTTTGATAATACCGAAAAAGATTTTTCAAGCTATATGGTTAAAAAGGGTAATCAAATTGTAAAGCATGCAACAGTAAATCAAATTTTATTGAAGCTATTGGATCTCTATTACAAAGATGAAACATTCTTAGAAATTGTTAATCTCTGCCATCACGACTACTTCTTATCAACAGACAATTATATTCGAGCGCTAATTAATATCTATGGCCAAGAGAAACATCGCGAATTTTTGCATTCTAAAACCCAATTTTCTGAATTTAGAATGAAAATTCGTGAAAGAACACTATTTTTAATTAGATCACTGATCGAATTCAAACCAATGTTTTGGAGCGATTTGGACGAATGCTCAACATCGCTAGAGTTGATCCAAGATTTTACTGAAAAGTATTTTGATGGTCCATCAGCAGGAAGTGCATTACCAGTAGAAGAGTTTAAATATTTTCAATTTTTTAATGACTTTTATAAACGTATATTAAATTTCAATGGCGGCGGCTATAACAGTAGTTTTTCAACAACACCAACATCAGTATCGACAATGTCAATGAATAATTATTATAATAATTTTTCATCTGCATCATCAGTTTCTTCATCACAGGCTTCAACACCACCAACTACACCATCATCCGCAAATATACCACCAAATCCAATGGCATTCAGTTCAGACTCTGTTCAAGTACAACGTCAACTACAAAATTTTATTTTAGGTGCTTCTAGATTACAATCTAATATCAATCAAGAATCAAAGAAGTTTAATATTTTCGATATGGATACCACCCAAATAGCAATCCAAATTACCTTAATAGACGAAAAAGCTTTTAGAATGATATCAATTTTTGAATTGTTAAAAAAGAAATTCGTTAGAGCTGATCTATCACAAAACTTTCAAGCAATGGTACAACTATTTAATAGATGGAGTTCTTGGGTTGGTTCAGAAATTTTAAATTGTACAACTCCTGCTCAGCGTGCATTAGTAATCGAAAAGTTTATAGATATTGCTACAATATTAAAAAATTTAAAAAATTTCCATTGTGCTTATGCTTGTACTCAAGGTATCTACCATTATTCAATTAAAAGACTCTATTTAACTTGGGATGTATGTATATTTATTTTTATATTGCACTTAATTTATTTCTAATTTTATTAACTTTTTTTTAAAATTTTAGAAAATTTCTAAAAAATCTTTAGGCCAGTTTGAGGAATTACAAAAAATATTTTCACCAGAATCAAATCATAAAAACTATAGAGAAATTTTACATGCATCATCTCCACCATTAATTCCATATCTAGGTTTATATACTAAGGATTTATTATTTGCAGAGGATTCAAACCCAAACTTTATATCAAATCCAGATATCACCCCTATAAGTTTTGAAGAGAATGAAGAACAATACAAATCTACTCAATTGATTAATTTCGAAAAGCTTAGAACCATTCATTTAATTATTAAAAATCTTAAATTCTATCGTTCAAACCCATATCCAATGCCATCAAATACTGCTCTTAGAGATAGAATTTTATCAAGACCAATTCTAAATGATGATGAAATGTTTGATAAATCTTTGCTATTAGAACCAAGAAGACAAACCCAATCAGTACTTCCATTACCAAATTTAAAAAACCAACAAATTATAAATAGTTTAAATAATAATAATAATAATAGTTAGTTATATAAATTTATTAATTTTATTAATTAATTTATTTTTAATAAAAAACAAATCTTAGTTTTTTTTTTTTTTTTAAAAAATAGAAAAAACTTCTATATCAAAGTTTTTCTTTCTGTCTGTTTATTTATAGGATTAATTTTATTTATTTCATTTATTCAAATATATTTCTTGTTATTGGTGGAAGGTCTAAAGATGAACAATTACTATTTGATTGTATTTGTTCAAGAGATGGTAGACGACAAGACGAGTATTTTGGAACTAAATAAACAATTTCGTTGGTTGGTTTAATATCCTTGTATGATTTAAATAATGTTGGAACTACACTATCACCACAATCTTCATTATTTATTTTCTTTTTGGGCAAGGGTGGTAAAGATTTATTTATAAAGGTATAAGATATTGATTTATTTGAGGTCTTTTTAACTTTTTTTTTAATTTCATTTGGGTTTATGGCTATTTGGCTGTTTGATATATCTGAGGGGATGTCATTTGAATTAGAATTTACATTATTTACATTATTTACATTATTTACATTATTTAAAAAAGTATATTTTATATAGTTATTGTTAATATTGTTATATCCATTTATATAATTGCTATTATTTAAAAAATAATTGCTATATTTTGGAACTACATAATCAACATTAATAGGGTTTTTATTGTTATTATTTTCATTATCATTAATTTCATTTTTATTAATATTATTGTTATTATTGTTATTATTATTATAACTATTAGTATTATTTGGATTCATATTATTGTTATTACAGTTATTTTTATTATTTTGAATTGTATTGATATTTTTTCTTATTTTCTTTTGAAATTCTCTTTTTTTTAGTTCTCTTAAAATATTTTGTAATTTATTATTATCGCCATTATAAAGAGTTGGATTTACTTTGACTACACTTGAAGTATAGTTTATTGATTTGGTTAAATTGTTATTTGGGAAAATAGGTTGAAACTTATTCATTTTTAAATTATTGGATAAATGGAAAATATAAAGGTTTTTTTAAAAGGATAAAAAGGATTTTAAAATTTAAATAAAAACCAATAAATTTGTTTTGTTTTTTTAGGTTTTTTAAAAAAAAAATAAAAAAAATTTTTAAAGAATTAATTATATTTTTAAGGAATTAAAAAAAAAAAAAAAAAAAAAAAAAAATGTTATTTTACAAATTTTTAAAATATAAAATACTAATATTAGAAAAAGTTATATTTAGATACTAATAATAATAATGAGAAAATTTTATTTTATTTTTTTTTTTTGTTTAAATAGAAAATAAAAATTTATTTTAAAGTATTCAATGAAGTTGTAATAATCAAAAATCATTAAAAAAATTTAGAGGTTTTTTATATAATAGGCAAAAAAATAAACTATAAAAATATAATCCATAGATAATTGGTTATTATAAAAAATAAATAAACCAATTATAGATCTTTATTATTTTTTTTAAAGATGAATCAACACATTTCAAAGTTTATCATCTTTATAATCTCTTTTAAAAAAAAAAAAGCTCACATTAAAACTTCTCTTATCAAATCTCTTTATAAATCAACTCGAGTTTATTCAAATCTCTGCTGAAATTTTTTAAAAACCATTTTAAAGAAAAAAAAAATAAACCATTTGAAAATGATTATAAAGTCTAATTTTTTAAAAAATAACCTATCAATGTAATATTATGGTTATTTTTTGAAATATTTTTTAAACAACTTAATTAATTGGGGTTAAAATTGTAAAAAAAAATCAAAATCAAAAACACCCAGAAAAGTTTTTTTTTATTTTTAACTTTTTTTTATATCACAATTGATCACCAATAACCTCAAAAATTGAGGTATTTTTTATTATTATTAGTATTGATTTGTCATATTACAAAAATTTATTTTAAAAATTTAAAAAAAAACAATCTAAACTGAAATAATTTTATAAAAAAAAAATTTAGTTCATGGTAATTTTAATTTTCATTCTATATATGTAAAGAATGAATGTGGGTTTATTTAAATTATTTATTTTAAATGATTAAGATTGATAACAATCCCACTACTAAGATTAACTATTCTCAAAAAATAGTATTAAATAATTGGATGCTTTTATAATTGTTTTTTTTTTTTTTTTTATTTTTTTTTTTTTTTTATGAAAAATATAAAGAATCATTTTTGAAAAGCCAAATTCTTCCTTGAATTATTTTAAATTTCTATTAATTTTTTTTATTGAAATCATAATGATTTTTAATTTGAAACTAAAATATTTATGGCTTATGAAATAATAAATATATATTAATTGATTAATTTTGAAAAATTTATAAAAAAAAAAATAATTAAAAAAAAAAAAAAAAAAAAAATTAATTTTAAAAAATATTGCAATTTTCACCCTCTTTTTTTTAAAAAATAATATATTCATAATTTATTTTTTTGTAAATAGTTTAAAAAAAAAAAAAAAAAACATTTTTTATATATAATACATAATATTTTTAATGCCTCGGGTTTCAAAAACAAAAACCCCAACCAAACCTACAAGCTCTTCATCAAAAAGAAATGCCGATTCAGGAAATTCATTAATAACATCATTTTTTTCAAAAGTCAATAAAGATGAAACCAACAACAATGAAGAACCAGAAAATAACGAAATCCCTTCCCCAAATAAAAAAAAAAGAGTGAGACGCAAAAAGATCAGATATAAATGATAATGATAATAATAATAGCCCCGATATAGAATAATAATAACACTGATAATACAAATAATTTAGACACTATAGATGATGAAAATGATTCAATAAAAAAAAAAGGAACAAGAGGAAGAAAATCAACACCAATTAAATCAGCAAAGAAATCGGAAATCAAAGATGATGATAAAATGGAAGATATTGAAAATAATGAAAGTAATTGCCTTTTAGATAAATTCAAATTACAACAAGATAGTATGGAAATAGAAGATGATAAAAACGATATAAAAGAGAAACCAAATAGGTTTGCAAAAAAAACATCTGCAAAAAAACCAATTGAAAGAGCAACACCACGAAGAAATGCAAAAAATATAGCAAGAGAGAAGATGGTTTCTAGTGACGAAGAAGATGAAAGCGATAAGTCCTCTGATGAAGATTATGTCGATGATGAATCTGGAGATGAAGGTGAAACCTCAATGGAGGAAAATAGTTCGGATGACGATAAAAAGAAGAAAAAAAATAAACAAACTCCAAAGAAAGCCACAAACACAAAAGGAAAAATAGCAACAGCAACAACAGAAACAAAAACTACAGAAACAACAACAACAACAACAACCACAACAACACCACCAACAGGGACACCAGCAAGAATACCAACATCAATAACAAGACCAGAAAAACCACCAAGAAAAAAAGCAGCACCAAAAACTCCAAAAACCCCAAAAACTCCAAAAACTCCAAAAACTCCAAAAACACCAAAAACACCAAAAACACCAAAACCACAAACACCAAAAAAAATCAAAGAACCTAGTGATCCTAACGAACCAAAAAAGCGTCCTTACTATGAACCTGATATATCACCATCAGAAGGTTGTCTTTATAACTCCAACTTCAAAAAGAAAAGTGAATGTATTCATCTCGAAGATTACCTTGAGGCAGAGTTTCAATTTGTTCCAAAAAAAGAATCAGATTCATATTTACCAACTGAAAATAAATCTATGGAGTTCATGTTTTCAAATGACAAGGAGAAATCTTATGATTTAAATCGTTTCGAATCTTTATCAAATCCATCTAAAGAAAGTCAAATTGATATAACTACTTTTTGTGGTGGAAATATTTATAGTATGGATTGGTGTCCATTAGATGACAGTTTTAAAACTAAAAATCAATATTTAGCAGTATCAGCCCACAAAGATTTGGTCTCTACTCATAAAAGAAGAAAAACATATACTGGCAGAAATATAATTCAAATTTACGAATATCAAATCAATAATGATGGTTTCGAACTACCCAAATTAGTATTCTCGATTGCACACGAGGGTAATTGTGTATGGGATTTAAAATGGATACCACATGGGGGTTACTATGAAAGAAAAGAAGAAAACTCTGATGAAATTAAATGTATTAGACTTGGTATCATTGCCGCAGTACTTGGAGATGGGACTATTAAAGTTTGGCCAATTCCACATCCAGATTTAGTACAAGAAAGATTTGAGGCAAACAATTCAAAATCTCTTTTATCAAATGTTATTAAAATAGAACCAATTTTCGACCAAATTTTAAATACAAATAATCAAAAATATAATAATGAATTTTTTTCAATATCAAAAGAAGAAAGTGATTATTTTGGTACTTGTTTAAGTTGGTCATATTGTTATGATTCAAGTTCACCATGGTTAATAGTAGGTTGCACAAATGGTTTAGTTCAAATTTTCGATTTAAATTTTATTCAAGAACAAAATAAATTAAATAATAACAATAATAATAATAATAGAAATAAGTTTATCAATCCAATTTATCATAAAAACTTTAATATCGAAATTTATAGTGTGGCTTTTTGTCCTTTAGATAAGAATCTCTTTGTTGTAAATACTATGAGAACTATTATCTTTTGTGACAAAAGAGAAAAGTATCCAATTAAAGAAACATTTAAAGATTTTACTTCAACAACTGGAGTGAAATGGCCAAACTCTACCATCCCATGTATTTTGTTTTTAGAAGGTTTAGGTGTTAGATTTTTTAGTCTCAATTCCTTTCATTCCTCAACCATTCCAATTACCGAATTTGAAGCCTCGGTAAGTAATTTTCATATAGGTCAAGATGCTAAGTTTAATTTATTAACTTTTTTTTTTTTTAATTACTATTTAGGATTTTGATGTCTCGGAGGATTTAAAATATTGTTTATCTGGTTCAGTTGATGGTTATTTGGTTTGCTCATTAATTTATTCCGATAGAAGAAAGTATAAATATAAGAGATGCACGATGGTTAAATTGGAAAAACTGGAATTAATTCAGGATGGTAAAGAAAAATTAGTATTTCTTAATGGTATTGAAAAAATGAAAGAAGTTCCTCCACAAAAACACATGAACTATTCACAACCAATCTTTCAATTAAAAGCTCAAGAAAGTATTGTCTATCCAAATGCGAAACAAAGTATTAGGAAGGTTAATTTTAACAAAAATGCAGGCTTTACTGGGGTAACCACCCACACTAACCAAGGTTTTATTCGTGTTATGAATAAAAATGTAGATTTTGATGAATAAAACAAATAAAAAATAAAAACTAAAGGTTTTAAATGACTAATACAAAAATTATTTTATTTTATTTTTTACATTGCAGCTCTTTTTTTTGTAAATTTAGCTCTAATCTCTACATCTACATAGGTAGTGTATTGAAAGGCAAAGTCATCTTCATAAATTATAGTCCTTGCCATATTTTTAATAGAATGTACATTCCTCATAAATCCTGAACATCTTATTTCTTGTAACTTTGGAGTTCTTTTTTTTGAATTGAATACAATATCTCCATCGTGCTTGTTATTTGAAATATTTATATGTGTAATTGAACTACTTGATTGTAATTTCTGAAATAAATTAAGAAGTTCTGTATTTAAAATTGTATTTTGGGATAAGTCTATTGAAATTAGGGTATTGTTTTTTGAAATAAAATCTAAATTGATTTCTACCAAATCTATAATATTTCCTGATAGATTCAAATGAGTTAATGTTTTATTTTCAACCAAAGAATTGAAAATATATTTAACATTTTTACCAATTTTATTTCTTTTTAACCATAGTTTTGTAATTGATGAGTTTGTTTCTAAAAATTTTCCAAAGTGTTTGCAATCTTTTTCGTCCATATAATTGACTGATATATCTAATTCGTTGATATTTGATATTTGACTAAAAAGGAGCTCTGTTGGTATACTATCTGGGAATACCCTTAATAGAGAGAGTTTAACCAAGTTACATTGATCGCTGTTTAAATAGTCTGATAGGGACTGATAATCTGATGGTTTTAAGCTGCAGTAATTGAGATTTAAAGACTTTATAGATTGATTCTTTTTTAATGATGTAAAAAATGCATGTGGGAAATCTAAATTATTATTACTGATAACCAATGAGTTTAAAGAGGATGTAGATTCGATGTATTCATTTAATAGGGTTGGGCTGAAACACTTTAAATCTGCTATATGAATTTCTTTTAAATTTTTATTTGAAGCTAATGACATCATTATTTGATTAATTGATAATTGATTAAATGAATTTTTTGATAAATTAATTGATTCAATGGTCTTATTATTTGAGATAAAATCTGAAATTACATTTGATGAACCCTCATCTATATAGTTTTCACTAATATCCAAGAGCTTTAAAAAACACGAGTCTTCTAATATAGGTAATATATAGTCGATATTATTTTTTAAAGCATTTGATCCCAATTTAAGAGACTGTAAACCATTGGCATTTGATAAGCTTTGGTGGAAAACCTCTGTATAGTCGATACCAATTCTATTATTTGTTAAATCTAGACTTATAAGCTGTGGGAAAAGCTCTATTAGAAACAATACTTTTTCGCAAGATAATAATTGATTCTTTAATGAAATATGACAAAGATTTCTACAATCTCCTAATTCTGAAAACTTGATCATTGGCAATAAGGATACACCCAATGGATTTTTGATTGATGGTAAAGCAGAAAACTCTAACTCTTTGATGTTGTGGATTGTTATAAATTCAGTTAAATAATCTTGAATTTCTGAAGCCTCAGTTAAGGCCATTGAATATGAAAAACGAATTTTATCAAAATCGTAGTCATTTTTTATTTTTTTAAAGCTTGAATACTCTTTACTTGACTCCCTTGATACCACATTTGGAAATTCTATATCTATATTTTTAATCCCTATCAATGGAGTTTGATAAATACCCTTGGTGATCCATCTATTTAAAGTTATACAATCTACACTACTTTTTAATTTGATATACTGGTAATTTAAATTTGGCATTACAGATTTTTCCCATCCCTTTGAAACCAATCCCAATTTTAAAAAGTTGTTAAAAGTTCCTTGAAAATCACTTTCATATTGCAATTTTATAACTTCACCAAAATTACTAAACAATAAATAATTTAATATTTTAATTAAAACATAATTTGGTAAAGTAACATTATTTATAAATATTTCTTCTTCGCCTTCAGAATCATCATTTTCAATTTCTTTTGTATTATAAAAATTAAAAAAATTATTATTGTTATTATTATTATTATTATTATTATTTATATCATCATTTGTTGGTTTTTTAAAATAATTTAATAAAAACATTTTATATATTTATATATTTTATTTTATTTTATTTTATTTTATTTTATTTTATTTTATTTTATCTTGTTTTATTTTACTTTATTTTATTTTATTTTACTTTATTTTATTTTATTTTATCTGTTTATCTAATATTGATATGTATCAAATTAAAATGAAAAAAAAAAAAAAAAAGGGTTTTAAATTTTTTCTTATTTTTTTTAAAAAAAATTTTCATGGAATATATTTATTTTAAATAGATTTTCAAAAAAAAAAAATCAAATAAAACTAATTTAAAATCTATTGATTATTAGATTTCACAAAATTGTAAACTATTTTTAAAATATAAAATAATAATAATAATAAAAAACTACTCCAAGGATATTATTTTATATTTTTACAATTTATTTTAAATTTAATAAATAATTTATTTATATAAATAATTATATTAATTATTGTTTGGTGTAGTTGTTGATATTGGTGTAAAAGGGTTTTGTGTTGGTGAATCGATCGACATTGGTGTGGGTATCGATGTTGATAAATTTGGTGTAGATGTAGATGATGGAGTTGTAATATTTGATGGTGTTGATATGTTTGTTGGAGTTAAAATATTTGAATTATTTGCAGAAGATAGTAATGCTGAAGATGATGGTGTAGGGTTATTATAGTTACTATTATTATTATTATTATTTTTATCAATTTTTGATTTTTGTAATTGATTATATTTTTCAAGTTTTTTTTGTAAGATTAATTTTTGTTTTTCCATTTGTTGAATTGATTGGTATAGTCCTATAGCTTCAGATTCCTTTTGTTTGCATGTATCTCTGTACTTTTGAATATCACCTATAACTTTGGTTCTTGAGTCGATGATTTTATTTAATTCCATCTGTTCTTGACTAGTTAAAGGTGTATCGCCTGCGATCTGAAGTGCAGGATTCGATAAATTCTGTTGATTTTTATCTGGTAATTTAATTAAATTGTAAAATGATTCTGTGGGGTCTTTAAATACTAATGTGTCTAAAGTTTCTGAAACAACTGGATGTTTGGTTTTAGTATTGACACCTTCAGGTGGGTGAAGTCTAAGTAAATGAAATAATTCTATTGATTTTTCATTTGGGTCTGTAAAGTGTAAAGTTATTTTTAAATCGAACTCACCCCATCCTGTTTCGCTAATTTCATAGGGCGGTGTTTCAACAACTATAAGATGAATGTAAAAAAGTTAATAAAAATATTTATTATAGAATAAAATAATTGTTTTTTCTTACCTCTATTTGGGTTTTTAAAACTACTGTGTAAATGAAAAACTACCCTTTTTATAAATGGTAAATCTTCGTTATTCATACCTCTTAAATATGCAGTCCATCTATGTGTGTGTGTCAAACCATCACCTTTCTTACCTAACCAGTTAGAGATTGACCCTACCACTATAGGCCTTTCAAACTCTCCTCTAACTTTTTTATTAGATACCATTTGAATTGTATATTTGTTTGGATAATCTATAATAAATAAAATTATGAAATAAAAAATTTAATAAAATTAAAATTTTTTAATTTTTTTAATTTTTTAATTTTTTTTTTTTTTTTTTTTTTTTTTTTTTTTTTTTCATTTTTTCATTTTTTTATTTGAATTAATATTATGTGAATATGTTATTTTTTAATCATCATTTTTAAATAAAGATATAGATTAGATTATTTTATTACTTTTTTTTTATTACTTTTATTTCTATTTTTTTATGTCATTATTATTTTTTTTAAAAATAACTTAAAAAATGAAAATATAAACGAATTTTGACCAATTTGGAACATAATAGAAAAGAAAATAAGAAATAGAATGTCTTTTGGCGTGCAAAGAAAATGGAGTTTTATTTTTTTTTTTAAACACTTAACTTTTATTTTATTTTTTTATTTTTTTTTTTTGTTTTTTTTTAATGGTATGAAAATACCATCTTTAGTTTGTCAAAAAAATCTTTATAATAAAAATATGAAATTATAATTATTTTTTTTTTTATTTTTTTTTATTTTTTTATTTTTTTGGCATTTTTTTCATTTTTTAAAAATAATATAAATATTTTTTTTTTTTCATTTAATATTTTTAAAATTACAATCCAAATAAAAATATTAGTTTTTGTATAATTATATTTATTTATTTATATTTTTTCCCGATTTAACATATATTTTTAAAATGTCTACATTATTTGATATATTCCAAAATACCACCAAAAGAGATAATAAAAAAACTGTTATCACTATCCCAGTTTTAGATAAAGAAACCAACTCATTTAACTCATATAAAATCACATATCAAAAATTCTTAAATGATGCCATCAGTATCGCAAATAAAATCAACGAAGAAGGTTTAAAAAAAGGTGATGTAGTTTCAAATGTTATTACAAATGGTTATCCAATTCTTTCATGTTTCTTAGTAAGTATTTTACAACTATAGATTTTAGCAGCATATGTGTAGATAATGTGCATTTAACTATAGATGTAGTATTAACATTAATTATTTCTATTATTAAAGGGCACAACATTTTCAAAATGTATTTCAGCACCATTAAATTCAGCATATAAAGTTGATGAATTTAATTTTTATTTTAAAGATATGGGCGCAAATCTTGTTATTATTCAAAAGGGTTTAACTGAGGCATTTGCATCAGCCAAAGAATTAGGTATTAAAGTTTGGGAATTAACAGAAGTTACTAAAGGTGATAAATTATTCTACACAATTACCAATCCAAACAATAATGATGAATTAATCTTTTCAACTGAAAATATTGGTGGTGAAGAAAGTGACCAACCAAAATTAAACGTTGTCCCAGAAAAAGATGATGTTGCTTTATTCCTTCATACCTCTGGTACCACCAGCAGACCAAAAGGTGTTCCTCTTACACACGAAAATCTTTCAGTCTCAAGCTCAAATATTGCCAATACATTCCATTTAGCACCAAATGATTGCTCATTAGTTGTTATGCCACTTTTCCACGTTCATGGTTTAATTGGTGTTTGTTTATCATCATTCTTTGCTGGCTCAGGTCTTGTTATTCCACCAAGATTCAGTGCTTCAGTCTTCTGGCAACTCGTTAGACAATTCAACATTAACTGGTATAGTGCTGTTCCAACCATTCACACTATTTTATGCTCAGTCCAACAAGGTCAATCTGAAAATCCAAATAAAGGTCTTTTAAGATTTATTAGATCAAGTAGTTCAAGTTTATCACCAACCCTCTTAGAAACACTCGAAAACTTTTTCGGTTGTCCAGTAGTCGAATCATATGGTATGACCGAAGCTTCTCATCAAATGGCCTCAAACCCATTACCACAAGATGGTGCCAGAAAACCAGGTTCCGTAGGTAAAGGTATGAACGTCCAAATTAGCATTGTTGACGATCAAGGTAACCACCTCAAACAAGGTGATGTTGGTGAAGTTTGTATTAAAGGAAAGAATGTTACCCATGGTTACCATAATAACCCACAAGCCAACATTGATAATTTCACTAAAGATGGTTGGTTCCTTACTGGTGATATTGGTTATTTAGACCCAGAAAACTATTTAATTCTCAAGGGTAGAAAGAAAGAAATTATTAACCGTGGTGGTGAAAAAATTAGTCCACTCGAAGTCGATAATGCTCTTTTAGAAAATGATAAAGTTTTAGAAGCTATTTGCTTTGGTGTTCCAGATCAAAAGTATGGTGAAGAAATTTGGGCCGCAATAATCCCAAAAGAAGGCCAAACCCTCACTGATGCTGAGATTACAGAATTCCTCCAAAAGAAATTAGTCTCATTCAAAATCCCAAAGAAAATCATCATCACTAAAGAATTACCAAAAACTGCCTCTGGTAAAGTCCAAAGAAGAATAATAAGTGAATTCTTTTTTAAACAATATTCAAACTAAAAAGCCCCCCATTATTTTTTAAACTAAAATAATAAATTCAATAAAAAACATTTTTAAATTTTAAAATAAAAAAAAAAAAATCTAGATTTAAATTCTAATTTAACTTAATTTTAAATTAAATTTTAGTTAATTAATTTAATTTTTAATTTTTTATAAAAATAAAAACAAGGAAAAAAATAATATGCATTTTTTTTTTAAAAATAATCATTTTTTTTTTATTTTTTTTATTTTTTTTTTAAATTTTTTTTCCTTTAATTTAAAATTAAATAAAACATAAATGAAAGTTTTTCAATATTTAACAACATTAGATGCAAGAGATTTAGAGGATTTATATAAAGATTCATGGACATGTCAAGCCATCGTTAGATCATTACCTCCAAGAGCGAAACAATATATATTCAAAATGTTAATGGTAGATACATATCCATTGACAATTGCCAAAGATTGGTCACAGCATTCATCAAACCATCAACATAAAGAGGCATTAAAAAAGCTATTTGATTTAAAAATTATATTATTAAACAGAGGTAAACAACAGTCAGAGCAATCTATTCAATTAAATCCATTGTTTCAAGAAAATATAAAAAGTGCATTAGTAGAATTGTAGCGTATATCAATTTATTTATTCATTTAGTATCTATAAAATATTAACATTTTCTTTTTTATTTATTTAGTGATAAAGTTATATTTTCAAATAGTAGTAATATTAAAGATACTAATAAAATACCAAATATAAATGATTTAGATAACTATTCAAAGAAGCAGTGGGAACAAGTTTTATATTTTCTATCGGATGATGCAGCTCAACCATCAAAATTCATTTCAGATTTACTATTATCGAGTAATTTAACTAGAAGAGATCAAGATGGGTCATTATCGATCACAAGTGATGGTTTCAAGTTTTTATTAAAAGATGTATATACACAAATTTGGACATTGTTGATTGTGTATCTCAACGATTTGGAAAAGAAAAGACGAGAGGGTTTAACACAGGGCTCAAGAAACGATTTGTTGGGTTTTCTTTTTAGACTTTCTTTTTTACAATTGGGCAAAGGTTATTTGGTTGGCGAGCTTACAGAACTACAAAAAGAATATTTAATATGTCTCAAGCAATTTGGTTTGATATATATGAAGTCTGATGCAAGTTTATTTTTTTATCCAACACGTTTAATTATATCATTGACCACCGGTAAAACACTATCATTGATCCAAACATTAGCAGTAGATAAAATAAATAGCTCATCCAACAGCGCCAATACTGTCGCAAGCAGCACTATCGAAAAGAAGGAATCAGGCTATATAGTTTTAGAAACCAATTACAGATTATATGCATATACAGCATCATCATTACAAATATCGTTATTATCGTTGTTTGTAAAGATGCTTTATAGACTACCCAATTTAGCAGTAGGCATTATCACTCGTGAGAGTATTAGAACCGCTCTAATTCATGGTATTACCGCCGATCAAATTATAGATTTCATTAGACACAATGCCCATCCCAATGCAGTAAACAATGGTCAACCCATTCCCGATGTGGTAGCAGAGCAAATATTACTATGGGAACAAGAGCGTAATCGTATTACCTACACCAAATCAGTTTTATATAATTCTTTTCCAACAACCGATTGTTATCATGCAACTTTGAAATTTGCAAAAGAACAAGATTATTACATTTGGTCCAATGACCAACTAAAAACTTTGGTAGTTAATGAAAATGGTAATGATCCAATAAGAAATTTTATTAAAAAGAATTTTGCATAAAAAAAAAAAAATAAAAGAAATAAAAATATAAAAAAGGAAATAAAAAAAAGAAAATGTAAAAAGATATAAATAAACGATCAATATTTCTTTTTTTCTTTTTTTTTTTTATAATTTGTTTTTAAATAAATTATATAATTATATTATATAAATAAAATAATAATTTATAATTAAATAATTATTATTTATTTTTATTTTTATTTTTTGGTCTTTTTTATTTTATTTTATTCTATCTACACTATTATTATTTTATTTGTTTTTTGGGTGGTATCTGTTTACTTATTTTTCATAACCAATAATTTGAGCAGTGGTTTTTTTTGGTGGGTTGGATGTATTTGTTAATGGAAATTGCTCTTTTTTAAGTTGATTATTATTTGATATTTTCGAAGCGGCCTCGGTTTGCTCTTTTTTTAAATCTTCATACTCTTCGATATCTTCCATATTTAGTTCAATTCTTGTTGGTTTTCGATTAATCATTTTGCAATATATAAGGCAATGTTATGTTTATATTTGGATGTATATATTTGAACAATTATTATATTTAATTATTTATTTTATTTTTTTTTTATTTTTATTTTTTTTTTTTATAAAATTTTTAAAAATTTTTAAAAAATTTTTTTTTTTTTTTTTTTTTTTTTTAATTATTTTTGTTTTTTTCATTGGTATCATTTATTAAAATGAGTAATAAATTATCATCGATTTATCAAGCATTAGATTCAGGAAATAATAAAGGTGCATTAAAGTTATGTAATGCATTATTATTAAAGAAAAAAGACGAAAATACAAATGCAGTCAAAGTTTTAAAGGCTATTACATTAGCCAAATTGAATCAAATCGAAGAGGCCATCAGTTGCGCCGACGAAATGGCATTTACAGGAATCAACAATGAAACTGTTTTAAGCAATTTAAATTATTTTTACAAATCAGTTCAAAAAGTTGAAAAGATGACCAAAGTATACGAAGCATCTTACAAAGCCAATCCTAAATCAATTCAATTGGCCAAAGGTTGTTTCTTAGCATATGTCAAGGATAGAGATTTAAAGCAACAACAACAAATGATCATCTCTCTTCAAAAGCAATTCCCATCTGAAGAACACTCTCTTTGGTATCTTATGACTATTCTCTCAATGATTCAGGATAATCCAACACCATTGTTACTCGGTTTATCTCAAAAAATGGCTGAAAAATTGGTATCAGAAGAAAAAATTAAAAATAGCGAACAATTATTCATGTATGAAACTATTTTAGACATTCAAAACAAAAAACAAGAACATTTGGACCTCATCAAAGGTAAATTGGGTGATCTCTATAATGTACCAACCGAACGTTTAAAGATTTTAGCATCACTTTATCAAGAGTTATCAAAACATCAAGAAGCTGCCGACAGTTACAAAGAGATTCTCGTAAAGTATGAACCAGATGAATGGTCTTGTTATATGGGCTATTTCGACAATCTCTGGTTACTCAACAATAACTCAACTCCATCAAACTTTGGCGAAATTCAAAACTTTATTAAAGAGATCCAAAAGAGCTCATCAATCAAGCATAAATTACGTGGTCCATTCATTGCCGAAATTGAATTGATCTACAGAAAATTAAATTGTAGCGCCACCATTGACAAAGAAGAGTTCAAACAATTCATTACATTGCTTTTGGATTATTTCAAACAATTTGGTAACAAGCCAGTCTTTTATCACGATGTTAAGAAATATTTAGAATTTTTAGAAACAAGAGGATCAAAAGATGATTCAGTTAAATTTTTGGAATCAATTGATCAACTTATTGAAAAGAACAACGACGACACTAATTTTATTTCAAAACTTTCAAATTACTACAAAGTTCAAAGAGCATTAAATTTACAATCTGATTTCACTCATGAAAAAGCTCAAGAAATTATTAAAGCCATTTTAGAAGCCTATTCCTACAACGTCAACAAATTCCCATTACCAATCGAGTCAGAACGTTACCCAGGTGATGATTTAGTTTTAATGTGTTATTTCTTCTTAATGGACCAAATCGAAAAAAACCCAGCCAATAAAATTAAATATTCTATCGATGCCGCTTCAATTTTAGAATTTGGCCACTCAAAGAGCACAAAGAACTTCCAATTCAACCTCTATTTAATGACTTTATATTTTGAAATTGGTATCCATACATCTGCTCTTTCACATTTCAAAATTTTAAATATCAAAAATATTCAATGGGATACCCTTGGCTATTTAATTATGGACCAAGCTGTTCGTTCCCCACTCTGCTTCTCTCAAAGTGTTAATTATTTCGAAAAAATTTTCAAGTTTTATGCTGAAAATGATGGCACTGCCGATTATGTTGCCGCCTGTTACACTAATGGATGCTACAGTAAAATTTTAGAAATCCAAAAATTCCAAGACAAGGTTGCCAACTCTTACCAAAAGCAAGTCTATTCAACTGAAAGACAATTATTTAATTTTATGATGGTTAGATTGAAGAATGCTACCAACAACAATATCGCTCAACAACAACTCTTACAAAATTGCAAATCACATATTGCCAGTATCAACAACGATCAATTCACTATCACCAACGAACAATTATCAAAACTTTCATTCAATCAAGATAGAAGTGTCTATGATAACTTCAATTCAAGCACCTTTAAAACACCAGCTAAATCAAACAACAATATTATCAACTCACTCTTTTTCGATCCAATTTATTCTAAAGAGTCTGATTGTTTATTAGTTTTAAGATTTAGAAGACAAATTCTAAACCTCTTAACTATCACTACTTTAACTACAGATTCAACTAAATATTCTCAACTCTTACTCGAATTAGAATCAACCATCACTCAATTAAACGACCAATTTAGCTCATCATCAAATATTTTAAGTTTAATTTTAAATATTTTCAAATTATTTAATTTATTATCGGTTTTATTAAAAAATTGTTTGTATCATATGATTTATTGTATTAATTTTTTTTTTTTAAAATACTAATTTTTATTTCTTTTAATTATTTAGATGAAGAAAGTAAATATGATGAAATTAAAAATATTTTTAATAAGCAAATGGATCAATTAAAAGAATTATTTGGTGAGGCTTCAAAAGAAATTAGAGAAGGCCAAATTTTAGGTAAACCAATAGGCAGTTTAGTATCGAATGTTTTTGAACCATTAACATGGTTATCATGGGTTATTATTCATTTGAACACTTTAGTACCATCAAAGAAGGCCAAAAAGAAGGAAGAATACCACGTACAAATTCGTAATGATTTAGAACAACTTTGTGAAACAATAACTAGTTCATTAGTTGATTTATCCCAAACTTTAAATGAAAAATCATTATCAAGTGTATCAATCGATAGTATAACTAATGATCAAAAAGAATACTTTGGATTAACCACCAACAACACTTTCCAAGATAAATCTGCTGTAGTTAAACAATTATTCGAAAGCAACACCCAATCAACCACAGAAATTCAACAATATATTACATGTTTAAAGACTATTTTTAGCTTTTCCCTTAATAATATTATTAATTGAAAATTTTAAAAAAACCCTCCGATTTAAACTAATAAAGTAATAAATATCATTTATTTTTTTTTTATTTTTTTTACATTTAATTTTATTTATATTTTTTCCTTTTTAATAAACTCCATTTAAAATTATTTAAAATTAAATAAAAAAAATAAAAAAAATGAAAAAATAAAAAAAATTCCGTAAAAATTTTTTTTTTATTCATTTTTCACAAAGATAATAATATACTATGAATGAAATTAATATTATTAATTTCTTAAAGAATATTTTTAAAGAAAACAATAGTAATAATAGCAATATTAATCATGAAATCAATATTGAACAAAATCAACTATTAGTTTCAAGTTTATTTTTATTAACACCAAATTTAAATAAAAATAATATTTTAAAAGAAATTTTCAACTATTTAAATAATAATGAAAATAATAATAATAATAACTTTCATATCTTTTTATTATCAATAGTCTATAGTATTATTAAATATAATAATAATAATAATAACAATATAGATAATAATGAAATAATTTATAATATTATTAAATTCTATAGTAATCAAATTATTAATGAAAATAATAGTAATAATAATAATAATAACGAAAATAGCAATCAAATAGTAAATAATAATAGTGTTAATGAAAATAATATTAAAATAATTTCAAAATTAATTTCAAAAATTCAAAATTTAATTTTTAATAATGAAATTTATTTAATGATAAATAAATTAATAGATGGCGTCAATAATAATAATAGCAATAGTAATAAATTTGGTTTGCAATTAGTAAATGGTATTTTAAATGATGGCGATATCAGTATTAAAGATAAAGAGAGAATGTGTATCGAATTTTATCCAACTTTAATTCCAACTGTAATAGAAAATTTAGAGAATTCAACAATTATTAATCAATATACCAAGCAACAATCACTATTCATCCTTTCAAAGCTTTTACTAGATAAAGAAAATGTAGAAATAATTTCAAAGAATGAAAAGTTATTAAATCTCTATTATGGAAGTTGGTTGCAATTATTATGGAGTGCAATTATCAAGCAAAAAGATATTAATGAAAAACTAAAGTTATGTTTCTTTTTCCATCAATGCTATTTTGACTGTTTAATCTTCAACTTAAAATCAAAGAAATTAAATGACGAAGGTACCTTTAATATTATTAAAAAAGTGGACTACTGGAATATCCTATTTGAATCTTTAATCGACAAAGATTCTTTACCACGTAAACAAGCAATTCATCTCTTAAAGAATACTGTATCTTTACCAAGTATGTTATGGAAAGAAAGCTTACCAAAAGGTTGGGAACAAAAGCAATGGAATCTTTTCTTTTCGCTATACGAATGCTTTGATGAAACCAAATCACATTTATTTGTTCCAGTTTGGGTTCAAATTCATAATTTAATCAATGCTTCAAACGAAAGAGATAACTTTACCCATTTCAAAGAACCATCTTCAATTTATTTCTGGATTAGAATTCTTTATTTCAGAGGCTTCAATCACATAAATGTAAACATTAAGAAAAGAGTTATTGTAGATGCCTTAGCCGATCAGTCTATATTAAAACATTTACATCAAATCGACTTTGTAGAGTTCCAACAACCACTCTTAAAAGCACTAGATACATTTGAAATCACCGTCAATTATGAATCTGAAAGAAGCAAAGATCTTGTAGAAAGATTATCAAACTATTTAAAAGTTACAGTTAAATCAAATTTAGAATTAGAACAACTTTTACAATTTATTAGTAAATCAACTCAAGAGGTTAAAACAATCTTACTCTTCACCTCAATTCTAAGTAAGCAAGCATTAGAATCCCATTTATCAGCCTCCTCAAATATTTTAGAGTCCATTAGATATATTTTAGTATCACACCCAATTCAAAACTCAAACACTCAGCTTTATCAAAATATGTTCGAACTTTTAAAATCATTAGATATTTCAAATGAACAACTATCATTTTCACAAATTTCTAAAATAATTTCAATGATTCCAAGAGAGTTAATAGATAATGACTTTAAAAATCATTGGATGAAATCAAAAGGCAATTGGTTCATTATTAATTTAAAAGAAGCAACCGAAAAAACAATTACCTCTGAAAGCAATACTCTATCAAACAACTCATCATCCTCATCATTTGAAAATGAAAAAGAAAATTTAATAGCCTTATCAAGAGTACTTTCAATTTGTTCAAATGCAGAGATTCAAGATTATATCGAAAACACAATCATTCCATATATTAACGATAGCGAAAAAGTAAATAGAGATCAACAAATGAAATTGTTATTACTTATCAATAGTATTTTAGAAGAGCTTCAAGAGAAACATTGGATTAAAGTTTCAAATCAAATAGAACCAATTAAATTTACCCTAATTAAATTAATAAAACAATATATTGTTGAAAAGACCTATACCCAAGATAATTACAACACAACCTTAACTAAAGAAGAATCAGAAAAAATTATTGATCAATTTAAAATGTTTGAAATGGCCATCAAATTAATAAAGAAATTACCACACTCTGCTGAGTTTACTCAACTCTCGAACGATATGAAAAATTATATTTTAAATGACTCTACCTCTTTAGATTTGAAGGGAATTACAGTTGTACTATTAGTTTGGATCCAGTGTAAACAGCAACCATTCCACCAACCACAACAACCAATCGACCCAACAAATACCAACAATATTAATAATGAAGTTTTATTTAACAAGCTTTTAACATTGGAACCAAAATACAAGTTTGATTCAACCATTTCATATATTTTACCAAAATTCATTCAATTTAAATGGACCAGTATTCATTCAATTCTTTTTAGCTTTGCAAGTAATACCAAATATTCCCAAGAAATGACCTTTGATTTAGCTCTATCTGCTTTAGATAATGCCACTGGCTCCACCTTAATTCCAATCTTTGAATGTCTCTCTATTGTCATCTCTTCACCAAGTTCTACAGAAATTTTAAATAATGAACATTTGATGGAACAATTATTTAAACAGTCCTATTTAGCATTCAGCGATAGTAATAGAAAACCCAACAATCTTTGTATCGCATTTTCAAATCTTTTATTCAATTCAATATTATTCGAAAACTCTGTTACCATTCCATTAGTAAAGAGTTATTTAAAACAAACTTTAGAAGACTTGGGTGGTTCAGTTCGTATTAGTTGCGGTTTATTAAGCCATTGTTGCGCCATTTGGTCAAAGAAAATAAACACACTACCAATTTTCTTAAATGAAATTATTGACCTTTGTTTGTTGACCTCCGAAGATAAATTAGTACTTGAAGACTCAAATGAAAACAACGAAGAACAATCGAGCGATTCATTCAAACTATTTAATAATCATGGTTATATTATTAGATGGTTTGTATCCCAATTAACATCAAACGAATGTAAACCATTTGTCGAAACATTAATTTTAGAGCTATTACAATTAAACTTTAAATCAGAATTCTCTAAAAGAGAGTACTCTCAACATAGCAGAACCAATAAAATGAAATGCAAACTATGGAGAACTCTATGCTCGTTAACTCATATCATTCAATTTAATCAAGATAATATTGAACTCTATGAAAAAATTTCAAACCTTATGTGGAATACTTTAGAACTTAAAAACCATAGCAATGTTAGATACTTAATTCAGCTTTTCATTATCAATATTTTAGTTAAATCACCAAATATTAAAGAAACAAACCAAAAACTTGTAACCAAAATGGAAGATTCAATCAATTCAGATTACCAAATTTCAGCCTCTCTTATAATTATCTCTTCAACATTCCTTTACTACCTTTTAAATAACTATCAAGATTCATATGAACAAATGGTAATTAATTTATTTAAAACTCTTCTTCCATGGTCAACTGACTTCCATCATGCTGTTAGAACTACATCCCAATTAGCAATTTATACAATTATTAACAAGAGTAAGTTTAAATTAATTTTGGTTTTTGAAATAATTATTATTTTTACTAATTTTTTTTTTTCTATTTTTTAGAATTTAAAATCCTTGAACAATTTAATGAAAGTGAATTAATTAAATCAATTTTCAATTATTTAGAAATCAATAAAATTCAAAAAAGATTAAGAGAAAAACAAACCCTATTTGTTGAAAGTGATGATCCATTAAAGAAAACTTTAGCTGAGAATATTTTAAGTGATAATAGTATTGGAAATACTGGCGGTGATGATGAAGATGATGAGGGCGAATCAAATAAACAACAACAAGAGGATGATGACTATTCAAATCTATCAGTTATCGATGATGCAATTATCCCAATGTCATTATTGGATATTTCAAAAAAACTAATTAAAGATTTCCAAGTTTCATTCCAAAACAATCAAAATCAACACTCTGCTGCAGTACCACAACCAACAACAGAGCAAAAGGAACATATTCAAATCAATAATAGTAATGATGATGAAGATGATGAAATTTTAGATTTCCAAAGAAGAATTACACCATGGCAATGGATAAATAAACTTGAGGAACACCACCAAATCAATAATACCAATAATAGTAACAATAATAATAATAAAAAGAACAAAAGACAATCAATGATAATTGTTGGTACATTTATCGAAAACACACCAAATTTAGCTGGTTTAATTAGAACATGCGAAATTTTTAATGTCGAAGAAGTTGCAATTCCAAATCTCAAACTTTTAAATGATCCTCAATTCCAAAGAGTTAGTGTCAGTGCTGAAAAATTAGTACCAATTATAGAAATCACTAAACCAAATCTTTTAGATTACTTAAAACTTAAAAAGAAAGAAGGTTATTCAATTTTGGGTGTAGAACAAACAAGCCAAAGTAAAAATCTCTCATCATTCCAATTCCCTGAAAAATGTTTATTATTATTAGGTCAAGAACAAAATGGTATTCCTGCAAACTATTTAACAATTGTGGATTATGTAAGTAATTTAAAAAAAAAAAAAAATGTTACATTCTTTATACTAATAGATTTTTTATTTTTATAAAAAAAAAAAAAAAAAAAAAAAAAGTGTGTAGAAATTCCCCAACTTGGACAAATCAGAAGTTTAAATGTTCATGTATCGGCTTCAATTGTAATCTGGGAATATACCCAACAACAAATTTTACAACAACAAAAATTAAATTAAAAATTAAATAAAATAAAAATAAAATAAAATAATAATTAATAAAACGAAACTAAATATTATCAATTATTAAAATTAAATTAAATTAAATTAAAATTAAATTATTATTTTTTTCTCCATTTTTTATTTAAAAAAACGAAAGTAAAAAAATTATATTTTTAAATTCATAAAAAAAAAAAATATTTTTTAAAAAAAAAATTTTTTAAAATTTTTTTAAATTTTTTTATAAAATTTTTTTTCTTTTTGAATTTTTTATTTATTTATTATTTATATATAATCATTAATTTAATAAATAAAACAAAATGTCAATAAAAGCTAAACCAAATCTTATGCCACAAGACTTAGCAACTTTAAAAGTTGAAGAACTTAACCCATTAACCCCATACGTTATTAGCAGACAAGCTACTATTAACATTGGTACTATTGGTCATGTAGCTCACGGTAAATCAACTGTTGTCAAAGCCATTTCAGGTGTTCTTGTAAGTAAAAAAAAAAAAAAAGAGAATTAAAATAACGAAGGTTTTTCAAATATAAAATATCAAATATTAACTTTTAATTTTCTCATCAAAAATATTTTTTCAAAATGCAACCTATTTTATGATCATCAAATTAATATTCAAAATCATTCAAATATAAATAATTATAATTACAATCAATGTTTTGAAATATCAATTTGCAGACTGTTAGATTCACTTCAGAATTCAAACGTAATATTACTATTAAATTAGGTTATGCAAATGCTAAAATTTTCAAATGTGAAAACCCAGAATGTCACAGACCAGGTTGTTATAAATCATATCGTAGTAATACTGATGATAATCCAATTTGTGAAAGACCAGGTTGTGGTGGTAAAATGGTTCTCTTACGTCATGTCTCATTCGTTGATTGGTAAATATTAGATGGTTTATAAATATCAAATCAAATTAATCAAATTTATAAAATTCAATAATAATCGATAACAATATAGATAATAATAATAATAAATATTGATAATATTGATAATAATAATATAGATAATATAATAATATAATTACAGCGAAATATATTAATTATTTTTAATTAAAATTATAGTCCAGGTCACGATGTTTTAATGGCTACTATGCTTAATGGTGCAGCTGTTATGGATGCTGCTTTATTATTAATTGCAGGTAATGAATCATGTCCACAACCACAAACTAGTGAACATATTGCTGCTATTGAAATTATGAATCTTAAAAACATTATCATTCTTCAAAATAAAATCGATTTAGTTAAAGAAGCCGCCGCTCAAGAACAATATGGCCAAATCTTAAAATTCGTTCAAGGTACCATTGCTGAAAATGCCCCAATTATCCCAATTTCCGCCCAAATGAAATATAACATTGATGTTATTTGTGAATATATTGTCAAAAAGATCCCAATTCCATTAAGAGACTTTACCTCAGATCCACATATGATCGTTATTCGTTCATTCGATGTTAACAAACCAGGTTCACGTGTTGATGAAATTAAAGGTGGTGTTGCTGGTGGTTCAATCTTAAAAGGTGTCCTCAGATTAGGTGATGAAATCGAAGTTCGTCCAGGTGTTATTTCAAAAGAACTCGATGGTAAAATCAAATGTACCCCAATTTTATCTAAAATTGTTTCCCTCTTTGCTGAAGAAAATGAACTCCAATATGCCGTACCAGGTGGTCTTATTGGTGTTGGTACTAAAATCGATCCAACTCTTTGCAGAGCTGATCGTTTAGTTGGTCAAGTTTTAGGTAGTGTTGGTAAACTCCCACAAATTTATGTATCTTTAGAAGTAAACTTTTTCTTATTAAGAAGACTTTTAGGTGTTAGATCAGAAGGTGAAAAACAAAGCAAAGTTAAGAAATTATCAAAAGAAGATACTCTTATGGTTAACATTGGTTCAACCTCAACTGGTTGTCGTGTATTTGCCGTCAAAGGTGATTTAGCTAAACTTGACCTTTTAACTCCAGTTTGTACCCAAGTTGGTGAAAAGATTGCCCTTTCAAGAAGAGTCGATAAGACATGGCGTTTAATTGGTTGGGGTAAAATCGAAGCAGGTACCCTTCTCCAAAATTAATTTCTTTAAAAATAATATAAAAAAGAAACAAAACTATAATTAAAACTTGCAAAATTTTGTATAGTTTTGCATGCAAAAAAAAAAATAAAAAAAAAAAATAAATATAATTTTTTTATTTAAAAAGTACAGATCAATTATTCCTTTGGATAAAAAAGCTGATATTTAAATAAAAGAAATAAATATAGGTTTTTTTTATAAATAATAAATAGAAGAAAAAAATTTATTTATTTTTTTAAAGGCTACAACATTTAAAAAAAGATATATAAATATATATACTTTTTTATCATTTTTATATGGTTATAAAAAATGAATAATTATTTTTTTTTTTTTTTTTTTTTTTTTTTTTTTTTTTATGAGGGAGACCCAAACTTTAACAAAGTTATATTAATGACCACATCCTGGAGCAACACCATAGCATCTAGCTTTGAATATTGAGGAAATTTGATCTTTTGTTAAGGTAGTACCACTAAAGTTATTATTAATTCCATTGTTGACATTAAAACTTTTATTATTATTTACTTGATCGAATGAGAATGAATTGATTTTTTTTAAAGAATCTAAAGTAAAGAATATGTTAATATAGAAATAGATTAAAAACAAATATAAATGTTGATTACATACCAGAGATTGTCATTTTAAATACAAAAAAAAGAAAGATAAAGAGTGAAAAGGGGGTAAAAATAAAAAAGTAATAATTGTAGATAGTGCTAATGGAATTAATAATAAGATGAAGGTATGTCTTTTTTTTTTTTTTTTTTTTTTTTTGAAATTAAAATTGAAGTGTGTTTATATAAAAAAAGTAAATATGAAAATGAAAAAAAGAAAAAAAAAAATAATTATTTATAGTAAGAAAAAAATAAAAAAATAATTTTTAAAATTAATTAAAATTTATTTAATAAAAATAATTATGGAAAAAAAAAAAAGGTTAAAATAATTAAAAAAGTATATACAAATATAGTTAAAACCAAAAAGAAAATTCTTCTTTTGAATAAACAATAACACAATTTAACACACAACAACAAATAAGGTGATGGTTTTTTTTTAAAAAATGTTTTTTTCTATATTTATTATAAAGTTTTTAATTTTTTTTTAAATTTAAAGTTTGAATTAATAGTTGAATGATAAAATTAACAAAAGTATTTATACGAAATTGGAAAATTGTATTTATAATTTTGAAAAACACCCAATTTTTTTAAAATAAAAAATTTTATTATTAAATAATTACTGATACATTTTTATATAAAAATAACATATCTAATATATTTTTGGATTAATTTTTTTTTTTAAATAAATATACAACCATATATGGTGACATGATATATCAATATCTATATTTTTTTTTTTGTTTTTATTTGTTTTATTTTTTTTTTTTGTTTTGTTTAAAAAATATATCGTTGTTTTTGGGTGTTAATATATGTCTATATATAATAAAAATGAATTTATTAATTAAAATGTATTACTGTAATCGTATATTGTTAACTTAATTCATTTAAAAAGATATATATTAATGAGGTAATTAGAGTGTGTAAGTGTGCTTATGTGTGTATTTTGGTGGGTGTGGGTGTGTGGGGTTAGTGGGTGTACATTAGTAAGTTTAGTTTTTGTTTGTGTTAATGCTGGTGTTTGTGTTTTGGGTTAACTTGTTGTTGTGAATTTATGTTTTTTAATATTATATGTTTCTTGTTGTTAAAGTTTATTGTCATTTTTATTTTAAAAAAACAATAAAAATGTTTTTTTTTTTTCGAATATAGTAGATTTTGGATTTTATATATTTGAAATTAGATAGTGGGTAAAAATATTTTGTTTAATCGTATTGGATGGTAAAAAAAAAAAATCTTTACCTTTTTTTAAATTTGTATATTCATAAATTGAATATATTATTCGTTCTATTTGAGTTTGTTATCAATAAAACTTAATAAAAATCACTATTATTATATTTTGGAAATGAAAAAACATATATTTATAATTATATTGAAAATTGAAAATCACTTTAAAAAAAGAGGGGGAATTTATGCAACAAGGTTGATTTTTTTAGTTCAAATTTATGAAATTATAAGAAATTTCATTAACCTTGAAATAAAAAAAATTTTGGGATGTGTGCGAATAAAAATAAAAAAAAACAGAAACATTAACATAAATTAAGTTTTTTTGTTGCACCCCTCATTATTAACACAAAAAAATTCCACCCTAAACGATACATATAAATAAAGCAATTTATGAATATACTAACTCATAAACAACCAATTTAACACATGCTTACACCACACTATCACACACTCCAATAATTTTAAGTAAACTAAACTAACTTGATTATTAAAGTATAATATTTTAAACTATCAATCAAAAATTCGCTCACCTTCATTTATACTTTAATATTTTTTTTTTTTTTTTTTTTTAATAAATTTTTTTATTCGAAGCACCCATTTATTAAAAGATTTTACTAAAATAATTATTTTTGTAAATCCATTAGATGAAATACAACTTACATTTGGTTAATAGTAGAAATAAAATAATTATTATAATAAAAATAAAATTTATAGCAATAAAAGTGACTTGTTGGTTAAAATTGTCATAAATTTTTTATTGTAGAGTGTTTGTGTGTGTGTTTGTGTGTGTCTGTGCGTGTGTTTATGTGCAGTATGTGTGTGTTTGTTGTTCAAAAATACTAAAACAACTTAATAAATAAATAAAGAAGTTACATTTACAACCTACTATAAAAAAACTATTTCATATAATATAACTCTTGGAGAAAATGTTGAATAACATATCATCATAAACGATAAATAAACTTTAAATCACTAAAAATAACTTTAATGATGATATAAAAAATACAAACTAGTAAAATAAAATAAGATTTATCTACTATTATAATTTTATTTTTATTTTAAAATTTTTTTTTATTTATTTTTTTTTTTTATTTTTTTTTTTTTAAAGTTTTATTTTGCTATTACCAGTATCCAATTAAATAATTATTTTAATATAAATATTTTGATTTATTTTGCTCTAATAATTTTGCAGAAGTTTTAGCATCATTAAATAATGTATTAACCTCTTCAATGTCTTCTTTTGTAATTGAGGGTCTGCCATAGGTTTTTGAGAGGATTGAAGCTGGAGTTAAAAGTTGAATTGAATATCTGAGTGAAGCATTAGTACCAATTTCAGCAAGATATTGAAGAGCATCATCTTCAATTTTATGGCCTTCAATGGTTGCACGAATTGTAAGAATTTGAACAATTTCTGTATAGTTATATGGGAGAGTACGAATGATCATTAAACGATCTAAAAGATCAACTGGGATACCATGTGGTGATTGAATATCGTTGTCAGTTCCTTTAATAACACAATTTCCACGGTTGGTTGCAAAAATAACAATTGGTGCTAATGTTGACTCTAATGCTCTGTTAAGATAAGAGAAACACTCAATATCGAGCATGTGAACTTCATCGATGAATAAAACACCTGGTACTAACTCTGCAACACCTTGTTCAATGTATTTGTTAACAATTTTATTAATTTCCAAACGAAGTTTTTCTGTAATTTCTGTTTTTTTTGGTTTCATCATTTGACCCATCATTGACATTATATCTTGACCACCTTGTGGTTTGGCATTGGCTAAATCTAAATCATGAAGTGTAACATCTTGAATAATATCTTTCTTTTTAAATACTTCACCTTTTGGTAATGGTACATATTCTTCGGCTTCTAAATCGTGTTCGGTAGCATAAAAATCTGAACGACCAACTCTTTTAACTGAACCACTATTGGCTTCAATATAAATAACATCACCTACTGTAATTTTCTCTTTTTGAATTGATTCATAAATGGTTGGATCAAGTTTAAGTTGTTTTGTACCTTTAGTTGTTTTTAATCCGATTACAACATGTGATATAGTTTTACCATAACCCCCTAATGGGTTATCAGTTTCTTCTGGGGTGATTTCTGTAACCTCACCTTCATAAACTTCTTTAATTTCTTTAACTCTTAATCCAATTGAACGTCTAAAGTTTTCCATTAAAATTTCTGTCTTTTTAACTTCTGATGAATAAACTTCTGAACCAACCATTGGACAAAATGGAACTTTACTACCCAACTCTTGTGAAATTGCCAATGCTAATGCTGTTTTACCTGTACCTGGTGGACCTGCTAATAATAATGCTTTACCAGCCATTTTTTTTGATTTAATTAATTCTGTAACAATACCTGCAGCCTTTTAAAAAATAAAAATGATAAATAAAATATGTTAATATTATTTTATTTTTTTATGTATTTTTTTGTTTATTTGTTAAATGCTATTAAATTTGGTGTTAAAATACTACATACCTCTCTTGCTTTAACTTGACCAACTAAACCATCTGCAATTTCTGTAGCTGAACCATTTTCATTTAAACCTAAACCTTTAATATGACTATGTGTTGCAATTCTTTGTGATTTAACTGATTTTACCTCTTCTATTCTAGTGGTGGTTGGTTGCTCGGTGGCTGTATTGGTAGTAGTGGCTGTTGTATTTGTATTTGTATCTGTAGTTGCAACTGCTGTATTGACTTCACCCATTACAGTATCATTAGAATTTGTATCAGCCATCTTTATTATTTAATTATTAAAAACACAATATACAACAATAATTTAATTGAAAAATTTAAATAAAATGAAAAAAGAAAATCGTTTTGTTTTTTTTTTTTTTTTTTTTAAATTTAAAAAAATTTTTAAAAAATTAAAAATATTTTTTTTTTTTTTTTCCTATGAATAAGTTATAAAAAATAAAATAAAAATAAAAAATAGAATTTATACAAAAATACCCTTTTTTCGGCGTTAATATAATATTCTATTTAATAACTAATAAAAAAAAAAAAATTTTTTTTTTTTAACAATGTATTTATTAGTACAAAAAATTTCCCTATTATTAATACTTAAATTTATTAATAACTAAACACAATTAAAAAAACAATATTACTAAGGTTTTGTTAATACCCTAGTTAATAAAATAAATGAAAATATATTATTACTTTTTTTTATTTTTTTTTTTTTTTGAACATTGAAAATCACTTTTTTTTTTTTTTTTTAAATTTTTTTAAATTTTTTTTAAAATTTTTTTTTTTATTAATTTTTTTTACCAATTTTTTTTTTTCAATAATTTTTTTTTAATAGATCTTTGGGTATTATTTTTTTTAATTACTTTTTGTGTATAATAATTTGTAAATAGAAAAAAAAAAGACAAAGAAAGGACGAGCATATATACACAAAAATGAAAATTATAAATATTGTATTTTTATTTTTAGTTGTTGTTGGATTAGCATTATCAAACCCACACCATCACAATACATGGGTTAATCAAGATGTTCAACGTTCAATTGATTTAACTACTCAACTTTCAAAACAAATTTTATCAGTTAAAGCCAAATCATTAGTTGATAATAATAAAAACTATCAAATTTCATTCGATAATACTTATCATGTTTCAGTTCAAGCTTTTGATGATAAAAACAATGAATTAAAAGTTCATTTATCACCAAACTCAATTAATATTAAAGAAGGGTAATTATTAGTATATTATTTATAACAAAATAACAAATAACAAAAACAAATAAAAATAAATAAGAATCAATATTAATATTAATATAAATTAAATTTTTATTTTCAATATACTCCTCACCTTAATAACCACATTTATAGTTTCAATACTTTTGATATCGAATTAAATAATAAATATAAAATCAATGAAGTTTTATCATTAAAGCTTAAAGTTACATTAATGTCACAAATGAAACCTTATCCAGTTGAAATTAAACAAGGTCAAACTCAATTAGTTCTTTATAATGACAACCATTATTTTACATCACCATACAAAACTGAAACTCAAAAGACAACAGTTAAATTAGCATCAGGCAAAGTAGAATCATTCAGTGAAATTAAACCATCCAGTTTAAAGACAAATACTATTGTTTATGGCCCATTCTCAAATGTTGAAGCATTCACAGTTTCACCAATGCGTATTCACTTTGAAAACAGTGCTCATTTTATGGTATTAACTCAATTAAAGAAAGAATATGAAGTTAGTCATTGGGGTAATTTAGCAGTTGAAACCTCATATTATCTTGAAAATCAAGGCGCCCACTTAAAAGGTCCATTCTCACGTCTTGACTACCAACGTAATCCAGGTGCCAACCCATCACACATCAGTGAAATTAACGAAGCCGTTCCATTATCTGCTGCTGATTTCTACTATCGTGATTCAATTGGTAACATCTCAACCTCAGTCTATCAATACCAAAGCAACCGTATTAACTTTAAGATTACCCCACGTTTCCCATTAATGGGTGGTTGGAAAAACAATTTCTACACTGGTTACAATCTTCCAATTCAAAACTTCCTCTCTGTTGATTCTGCTGATGGTAGCTATCACCTCAATGTTACCTTTGGTGTTGGTATTGACAACATCTACGTCGAAGATCATCAAGTTAAAATCATTCTCCCAGAAGGTGCCACTGATATTAAAGTTAAATCACCATTCCCAGTTACTGAAACCCGTGAAATTCGTAAAACCTATCTCGATACTGTAGGTCGTCCAGTCATTGTCTTAAACGTCAGAGATACCTCATTCGAAAACTATCGTTATATTCAAGTCACTTATAATCTTTCATCTCTCTCTATTTTCCACGAACCACTTTTAGTTATTGGTGCTGTTTTCACATTCTGTCTTTTCATTATGTTTTATTCACGTTTTGATTTATCAATCAATAAATCAAAAGTTAATTAAATAACTTTTTTTTTTTTTATAAAGAAAAAAAAAAAAAAATATAAAATATAAAATAACAAATAAAAGAAAAAAAAAAAAAAAAGAAAAAGAATAATATATAATAAAATTTATTAAAATCATTAAAAATAAAATAAAAATAGTTTTTAATATATCTTTTTTTTTAAAATTTTTTTTTATATACATGTATTTATTTTATTTTATTGGATATAGTTATCTTTTCTTAAAAAATCTCTATTTTTTTCCTTATATGTGGTTTGGATTAAATTATAGAAAAATGCATAATAATATAATAAATTATCGTATTCACCATTGTATTGACCTCCATTTTGATTTTGATGAAATTCTTTGAAAAAGTAATAGATTGCTTCGATGGTTGCTAAATAACTGTCGCCATGTGATTGGTATCTCCAAAACATTGTCTTTTGCATATCTATTTTTACACATCTAATACCCTTTAATTGATCGCTTCTTAAAATCTTTTTTGCATTTTGCCATTGACTTTCAACGAAAATTACTTTTTTAATATTACTAAAATCTAAATCTTTAACAAAACATGAATCATCCGATGGGAATAATAAAATAGTTTCATCAACATTATAATTTGGGATTTCATCTGGAAATTCTAAAAAATTTACATCATCATGTGCTAAAACTTTTGAATGAATTGCTGTACTTTTTGAAATCAATTCAGTTGGGTAATGTAATCTACAAAGATAATAATATTAATATTAATGATTGTTTATAAACAGTAGCTATTATAATAACTATTATTGTATTACTTACACATCTACTGAAAGTGGTAGTTTTAATAATGGTACTTTTGAAATATCGCCTAATGGTATACAACAATCATAACAAAAATATTTTCTTTTTTTATCGCACTTTGAACAAACACTTCTACCTAAATCAATTAATGGCTCGAATGATGCTAGTTTTAATTCAGATAACCATGATTGATCCTCCTTGGCATTATCCAATACACCTTTGGTAGTTTCTAATTGATTATTTATATTTCTATTAAATTTTTTTTTATTATTTTTTTTATTATTATTATTTTTATTATTTTCATTATTATCCTCAACCAATTGATTAGCTGAAGTTTCTTTATTTTCTGTTTGGTTTTCCATTTTAATATTATTATATATACAATTAATAGCTAATTAATCGTTTTATTCTAATTTTAGACGATAGTTAATATTTAAATAAAAAAAAACAAAAAATTAAAAAATAAAATAAATTAATTTTTCTTTTTTTTTTTTTTTTTTTTTTTTTTTTTTTTCGTATTTTCGGTTTTTAATTATTTTTTATTTTTTTTTAATTTTTTTAATTTTTTTTTTTTATAAAATTAGCAAATAGTTTTTTTTTTTTTTTTTCTTTTTATTTTTAAATAAATTTTTTTTTCTTGTATATACAATCGTATGTATTTTTTTTTTAATATCTGTATAAAATATTTTTAAATTTATCTTACTAATCTATATTATTATTATTATCATTCATTTTATAGACTTTCTTGGAAGAGCGTGAAGTCATAGTAGACTAGTATACATTTATATTTTATTCAAAATGGCCGATTCTTCAATTAACGAAAAAGCTAAACCATTAGCTGATAGCAAACTTACTCTTACTATTTTAGATCTTATCCAACAAGCCAACAATTTTGGTCAATTAAAGAAAGGTGCTAATGAAGCTACCAAATCAGTTTCACGTTCAACCGCTGAATTTGTTATTTTAGCTGCTGATGCCGAACCATTAGAAATCCTTCTCCACATTCCATTATTATGCGAAGATAAGAATATCCCATACGTTTTCGTTCCATCAAAATCTGAATTAGGTCGTGCTTGTGATGTCTCACGTCCAGTCGTTGCTTGTTCAGTTATTGTTGATGACAAGAGTCAATTAAAATCACAAATCAATTCAGTTAAAGACGCTTTAGATAGATTATGGATTGCCTAAATTTACTCTTATCAATATTTATATATACGATATAAAAAAAAACGAAACGAAAAAAAACAAAAAAAAAAAAAAAGTATATTTGGTAATTTGCATAAAATGATTTTATCAGCAAATTAGTTTATTTGTATATCTATTTTTTAAATAAACTTTTTTTTCCCAAAAAAAAAAAATCAAAATAATTATTTATTTTACTCTTTCAAGACATTGATTTTTTTATTTTTTTTTTTTAATATAATGTGTGGAATTTTAAATTACTAAATATTTATATTAATTTTTCCAATACCCCTTTTTTTTTTTTTTGAATATTAAAAATATATACATATATCTTTAGGGTTTCATTGTGTTTTTTTTTTTTATTTTCACACATATATTTTTGTTTTTATCCATTTTCCCCCACACCTACTAAATGAATATTTAATTATTTTCAAAATATTATTTAATTATTTTTATTTTTTATTAATTTTAATTATAAAATTTTTTTTTCATTATTTTTACTTTATTCCCCACATTGTAGAGTATATTATTTTTAATAAATAATTTGTTTTTTCATTATATCACAATAAAAACTATAGATAATAATAAAAAAAATTTAGTTTTTTTTTATTTTTTTTAGATTAGAAAAAGATGGTAAAGCTTTTTGGGAAGTCTAAAAAAAAAGAACAAGACCCACAATCCATAGATGTTGCATTCCAAAGTATTTTGGTAAGTTTTCTTTATAAATAAAATAATAATATAAAAAAAAAAAAAAGTAATATTTATTAATAAGTAATTAATATATAGGATGAAATTGGTGTTGTTGAGGCAGAGAAAAAACACTTAATGGCAACAATGTAAGATATATTATATTATTAAATTGTTTTATAAAGAATGGATAATTAATTTTTTAAAACACTTATAATAATAGGGATTCAATAAGAAAACAACAATTAATTCAATCATATCAAAGTAAAAAATTTTCAAAAATTGATTTTAATAATAAATCTAAAAAAAAATCAAATGTAACACAATCACCGCAATATTTTGCAGATAGTTTAAAGAATGATCCTTCAAAAGAAATTTTAACATCACTTCGTGTCCGTTTAGGTAACCAACCCCTAAAGTGGTTAAAAGAATTTTTATCTTTGGATGGTGTACAATTACTAATAAAAGTTTTAACTTCAAATGAAATCAAACAAGTGTAAGTTTTAAATTACAAATATACATAAAATAAAAAAAATAAAAAAAATATTAACATATTTAAAAAATATAAAAAAAAATTAAAGTAAAAATCAAGATGATATTTATAAAATTGCCCAATGTTTACATTCTCTAAAGTTAATTATGAATACAAAGATTGGTTTAGAATCAGTTATAAAAAATCCAAATAATATTAATTCAATTTCTTTGGTTATGGATACCACACATTTAAAAACAAGGATTATGGTAACTGAACTTTTGGCTGCACTATGTGTTGTTCACTCAAAGGGTTTACAGTTAGTTTTGGCCGCTATGGACAATTATAGAAGTGTAAAGAGGGAAAAGAAACCATTTATTCATTTAATTCAAGGTTTAAAAACTCAATCTCTACAAGCAGTAACATTTGCTCTTATTAATACTCTTATTAGTAGTAGTCATAATGTTAGTGAAAGACAAAGAATTAGAGGCCAGTTCAAAAAACTTGGTATCACTAAAATAATAGAAGAGTTAGAGCCAGAGTTTGCAAATAACCCCGATTTAGCTACCCAAAGGGATCTTTATGAACAAGAGGCAAGATGGGACGATCAAGAACAAATGGAAATTCAAAGAGGAGATGTTAGTGAAGATGATCCAGAAGTTATTTTAAAAACAATTTTAGGAAAAATCCAAGGTTCCTCAATGCATCCAGCTTTCATTTCAATTTTAAAATTATTAAGTACCAGTGCTGATGACTCGGATGACTCTGCCCAAGCCAAGGATCAAGGTCTTTCAAATTACTTATTCCTCGAAAAGATATTAACAAAGATTAATGGTGGTGAAAGTTTTACAGATGACTTGGGTCAATTTTTTGGTGGCATGGAAATAGATCATGTTTCTGGTGAAAAAGCTGTTCTAATACAAAAAGAAATTGAAGATTTGAAAAAGCAAAAGAAAAAAGATCAAGAAAAATTATCAGAAAAAGATATTTTATTAACCAAGTTGGCTAAACGTATGAGAAAGTTAGAGGAGGCTATTAAATCTGGCAAGGGTTTGGAATTTTTAAACAATGAAATTGATATCCCATCACCTATTGACAGTTCAGCTCCAACACCAACAGAAACTACACCAGGAGGTACAGTAGTACCATCACTAAAGACCAAAACTTCACCAAGCTCTCAGAATCTTAAGGGAAATATATCATCATTCACTACTGCCAAAGCCCCAAATGGTGTAACAGATTTCCTAAGTGGTATAAATGGAGATGAACCAGCATCAACCTCGGCATCATCTGCTGACTCTAGCGGTATACCATTACCACCAGGTGCTCCACCACCCCCACCACCACCAGGAGGTAAATTGGCACCATCTACTCCACAATTATGCTCTCGTCCACCAAATTGCAAGATGAAGTCATATCAATGGACTCGTTACCGTACCAGAAATATAAATAATACATTCTGGAAGAAAGTTAATCTCACCAAATATAATGATGTTCTTCCATATGAACACATTGAAAGTTTATTTGCTGCTGCTGTCTTTGAGAAAAAAGAAAAAGAATTAAAGAAAGGTTCAGAAGTAACTGTTATTGATTCAAAGAGAGCTCAAAATATTGGAATTCTCTTATCAAGATTCAAAAACACATCGTACGACCAACTCCATGATGCCATTTACAATTTGGATGAAACCGTTTTAGACCTCGAAACAATAAATCAAATGATAAAATATGTTCCCTCAAAAGAAGAAATAGATTGTATCCATGCATTCAAGAAAAAGCAAGAGGAGCTCCCCCAAGAAGAAAGAATGAGATTGGGTAAAGCCGAACAATTTATAGATAAAATATCATCAATTCCAAGACTTACTCAAAGAATTCAAGCAATTCATTTTAAATTAAATTTCCCTGAAAAACTCTATCAAGCCAAACCAGATATTAGAAAATTCAACGAAGCATTCAGCCAACTTCAAAATAATAACATTTTTGCGGTTATGGAGTTAATTTTATCAATTGGTAATTTTATTAATTTTGGTACCATTAGAGGAAATGCAAGTGGTTTCAAGATTGATTCAATTAATAAATTAGCCGATACAAAGTCAAATGTTCGTGAAAAATATACCCTAGTTCACTACATAATAGAATACCTCGAAAGCACACAACCAGAACTTTTAACTTCAATTATAGAAGAAATTCCATCAGTTGTAGACTCAGCCACCTTATCATTCTCACAATCATCATCAGAAATTAAAATGTTAAGAAGTGGATTAATAAAATTGGAAAAAGAAATATTTTCAAAAACAAAACAAACACAAGAAACCATTGTTGAAGAGAGTGAACCACAAGAGGTTACAGAGGAGGGTGATGATGAAAAACAATCAAATATGTTTGCAAATCAATTAAAGAGAAAACAAGTATCAACAGAAAACCCTGAAGATATAAATCAATCATTACCACCAATCGCAGAGGATGATCCATTAAGAGTTAAACTATCTGAATTTTTAGTATCCTCAAAAACCGAGTTGGACGATGCAGAAAAATTAATGGTCGATACTGAACAAGAATATCAAAAAGTTTGCAAATTTTTTGGTGAAGAGCCAAAAATGGTACCAGAGGAATTCTTGGCCATTTTCAAAAAGTTTAATGATAGCATAGTTTTATCAAAGAAAGATTTAGACATTGAAAAAAGTCTAAAAGAAAAAGCCAGCCAAAGAAAAGAAGAGAAGAAAGAAAAAGAAATCCAAAAGAAAAAGAATAAATTAGAAATGTTCCAATCTAAACTCAAAAAGATTGGTTCACCATCATCAAGTAAAAACCTATCATCATCATCAGATTCAATGGACGATGAAGATGACGAAACAATAAAAGAATATATAGAATCAATAAAAAATAACTCTAGCCCAGGCTTTGATAGCAATTCATCAGAGGAAGAGGGTGTTATGGATGATGTACTCAATTTAATTAGAGATGGAGATTTTAGAACTATCAGAAGAAACCACTTATTAAAAAAACAAATTAAACCAAAAAAACTAGTCCAAAAACCAACACGTCCACAAGTTTTAGATACACCATCATCAACCTATTCAAGTATATCTAGTATGTATGATGCTGAACCACTAGATATGAGTGAAAATGATGAGGACGAGGAAGAATATAATGATAGCGAGGAAGAGGAAGAAGAAGAGGGAGAGGAAGAAGAGGAAGAAGAAGAGGAAGACGAAGAAAATGAAGACGAAGAAGATAGTGAAGAGGATCAAGGTCAAGATTAAAATCATTAATATATTTAAATTATAATATTAAAAGAAAAAAAAAATAAAATATTATATAAATTTAGCTATAGTATTTTAAAAAAAACAATTTTATTTTTAATAAAAATTTCTTTATGCGCATTAAAAAAAAAAAGATTTATTATATATGGTTGTATTATTATTATTACTAATATTACTATTTAATTTTTTTTTGATTTTTTTTTTTTTTTTTTTTTGATTTTTTTGATTTACACTTTTTTTTGTTTATAATGGTTCAATAGTTGTAGTTGGATTCTTTGAATATTTGTTTATAATATTTAAAAATACTGCAGCTTTATCACTTTGAGCTTTACCTGTGAATACTGGGGAGTTTCTTAATGAGGAGGCACCTGCTATCACTAAAAAAATTAAAAATAAATTAATATAAATGTATGATTGTTTAATAAAGATATTTAAACTTACTTTTTTCATAAAGGAAATTTCTGAATGCTTCATCCTTATTAAAAACTGGTGCATCGGGTAATGCTGGTCCATAACCTGGAACTTCATTTTTATTTGCAATTGAAACCTTATATCTTGTTCCAGATGAGTTAATATTGGGCGAACCTGGGTTATTAATAACTGGTGAAGAAATTGGTGTTGTATCATCACATTTTCTTTCATCATTTGAAATACCAATAGTTGAATTTTCAATAGGTTTTATTGGTTGAACTAAAATTATAATTTCTATAAAAAATGATATTAATATTATTTTTTTTTTTTTTTGAATATTCATATTAACTTTACATACGAGTATTTTTTGATTTTATACAGTTTGGATTATATGCCTGTTTGCCATCATTAAAAACAATAACTATTCTATCATTACAAATATGCTTTCTTCTTTCTGTTTGTTTTGGATCACTTGGGAAAAATGGTAACATTGTTGATACATGATACATAATCTCAACATCTTTATATTTTGAAAATATTGAATGGGTACCACTTGAATTATCTATATACAAAGATTTTAATTGATTAGTAATTTTAAAAAATATTATTATAAATAAAATTATTGTTAATACATACTGGTAATATCTAAACCACCTGAATAGTTTTTGAAATCTTTTAGTTCAACTTTCTCACCTAAAAAATTTAAAAATTCTATATATTCAGGTGAAGAGTTTACAGATATATTTTTAAGCATTTCATTTTCATCATGGTGACCATCTTTACAATAAAGAATACCAACCTTCATTACTTTGGAGAATTCTGGCTCATATACTTTTAACAATTCATCTTGAATATTTTTACCGGCAACTTTTGATAAATTATAATTTGTAAGTTCGGGACGTACTGATGTAATAACATGTAGTGATTTTGGCTTCATTCCCAATACTTTTCTTCCAGTTGGTCTATAAACTGTTGCTTTTGGTACTCTTACTTCTTCAAAACCCTTTTCTGTACAAATTAAAAGATAATATTCATCTTTTTCTTTTTTAACACTAATTGAAGTTGGTCCTAATGGTGAGTAATAACTCATATAAGTTTTATGAGGTTTTCCATAAAAGTTTTGTCTATAAATTGATGGCATAACCTTTAAATTTGGGTCAACTGGTTGATTTGACCAATTTGAATCACCATCTGTTAAACCCTCAATTCTATATCCTTGACATGGTGAAAACATTTTATGTTAATATATATTTTTTTTTTTTGTTTTTTTTTTTTTTTTGATGATTATCTATTTGATATTTCTTTTTAATTTCTAATTGTCTTTAAAAAATAAATATCTATTTTGAATATTAAAAAAATATGATAACTAATAAATTTAAAATTATTAAAATAAAAAATGATTAAAAAAAATTTATTAAAAATGATTAAAATTATTGTTGATTAATTAATTATTTGTTAACTTTGATTAATATTTATTTAAAATTTCCAAACAAAGTAAAGTTTAGTATTAATTATTACTTATACTAATAAAAGTGACGAATGATTTTATAGTATAAATTCTATTATTATTTATAATGAATTTTATATCTTTTTTATTATTATTATTATTATTTATTTTTATATATGTTTTTTATATAATATTATTTATTGC